AACACTTTTTATTATCTTTTGATTGAATATGATTAAAATATACTACAAACTTCTGGTCGATTTTATAATAGAATTATTAAGAATTGAAAAAATAACCAACTTGATATTGTTAAAATACTTAATTTATTTGACATTCCTATAATGATTTTGATTACATTAGACGAAAGTTTCAATTAAAGTCTTAAATAAAAATAAACACATACGTGTATATGTGAATATATATTGTCGTTCTTTTACATAGATAGATAGATATACACTTTATTGCTCACAGATAATTATTAATAATAGATTAACAATACAGGTACTAATACTAAGGTGGGCAAAGGCGGTCTTATCGCTAAAAGCGATCTCTTCCAGACAACCTTTGATTTGTGTAACATTTCCACTAGGTGGAATTTTCAGAAATCCTGACAAAAAAGCTAACGACCAAAAAGAATTATAATGTCGTCTCCCTTCCCCCTTTGCTACCTTATTGATTTATATAGTATGGGCATAGTAAAACCGGTATAGGCGAGCACTAAGAAATTTTTTTAGAAAAAAGGCAACGGCGAATATGTTAAGTTTCTAACCATAGTTGTTTAGGCTGTGTTAATATGTATTCTTAACTGAGTTTTCCTTTTTATACCTACTTATATAATTAGATGTAGTAAAAAAAATATATGTATTTAAATTTCATTAAAAAGTAGGTACATACAGTATATATAACATTTTTATGTGGAATTGCACCGACTTTTAAACATCTTTTTTTTTTCTTTAAGACGTAATCTTCTTCGCTAAAGTGTTGTGAACAAATTGTGCTATTTTTGGTCGATATCCAGTCTTTACGACCAGTAATAGAAATCCACTTTAGACGTAAGCCTGGCTCTTTAGGAAAACTGAAATATAAAACAACAAATTAAAACTGTCATTTTTTATACATTTAATTTATTGCTATTTAATTAAATTTAATTTTTATTACCATCATTTTTATCGGCCTTACTTTTATTTAGTTTTTACTGACTAACAAACAAAGAATCGATATAGTGTTTCCATGGCACTTCACTAACGATCAATTGTAATCTATTAAGTTACTGTTTAGAACGGTGATTCCGAAATGTTCTTTACATATATATGTACTTCATCAGCAATGTATATTCTTGGAAATAATTATTGCGATTCACGCTTTGATACCATTTCACGAATTTCGACAAACATTGTAAATTTGAAAAGTGTTTTACTCACTAATGAAAAGAAATCCCTCCTTGGGATCTACTTGAGGATTGGCTTCTTGTTTTGCAATTAATAACCGCGCAAGCTGGCATTTTTTAACACTTTTTGTGGTGTTTTACAATACTCACAGCATGCGCGTTCGTGAATCACTAAACATGGCGATCGCGTGGTTAAGTCATGATCCTGTATGTGTGTTCATGATCGTATCTACGCTGCAGTGCTGCCAACTAATCTTAGTAAAAACGCGCTGTAAACTCTACCAAAAAGCGCTAGAACGCGCTAAAACTACTTTTTTAGAAAAAAGCACTAGATTCGCGACAACCACAAATTATCGTTACAATGAGTACCTACCTATTATGATAAAATTTAATATGATATGTTACATAAAATGAAACCACGATACATGAAACCGTTGTTTAAACTATTTTTTTTTTGTGATAGCTAGAGGGCATACAAGCAGACGAAATTAATGAAGATGAATATGAATGTTAAAAATATTAATAAAACACTAGGCCAGCAGGTAAATACTTTTATTATGAAATAACAAATGAATTAATATATTACAATATTTAAGAGAGCTTTTTCAAAATGCTATGTCAATTTTTTCCACTTACTTAATATTCGAGTAATCGCCGGTTCAATGGAAAGCCATCGTGTGTCACAAGTTTTTTAAATTTTCAATTGTTTTTGCCACAATTGAGAGATTGGTACAAGGTTTTGTTCTGAGAATGCTTTTTTGGTGATATTTTAAACCAGTTATGGGTTTCTCGTATTAAAAACTCTTTTGGCGTGGTACCGTATCTATAGACGCGTGTGATACGGCGAGCTGTATATAATGACAAACACGTCTAACTAATATTAAATGTTCATCAAAAAACATTCAAATCATATTTTTTCGTCAAAATTTTGTACACACTTGTATTGATCCCAGTCATAACAAAAGTGTTATCTGTACCTATACCAATCAAGTTTTTGATTTTCAATCCAACATCTTTTAGTGATGCAATCAAAGATGTAACGCTTTCTTCAGCGTCAGAACTTTCTAATTCACGGAGTCCTAGAAATGAGGAAATAACTTCATTTTGAGTGCGATTGAAGCATTTCACCACTACTCCCAATTTTTTTATTGATATATTTGTAGACTCATACTAGTAATAAACTGTAGGGCTCATCTCCCATGTCGTTAATCAACTCGGTTTTAAAGTAAGGAGCTAGTACCATTTGGATGACAGCTGTACATTTAGTACGATGAAGTTCAAGATGTTTAGCCGCTTCAGATTCTTGAAATACATCCGCACATAAACATCCTAAACGCACGTCTTATATAAAAAATAGGTTTCAGGCAGTTTGTGTCAAAGGATATACTTCACAATTTCTTCCGGTAACATCCGGCGTTCCCCAGGGTTCGCATTTAGGCCCATTGCTTTTTTCTTTATATATTAACGATATAGGACATGCAATAAATAGTCAACACTTACTTTATGCTGATGACGCAAAATTATTCAGAGTTATAAAGTCCCATGACGATTGTAAAATGCTTCAAGAAGACTTAGACTCGTTGAAGGAATATTGTTCGTCAAATCAACTATTCTTGAATATAGCGAAGTGTTTCATAATGACATATACACGTAAAAAGCATCAGTTTAACTTTCAATACACATTGGAAGGTACTGTAATCAAACGTGTGACTAAAATTAGAGATCTAGGAGTAATGATGGACTCCAACTTATCCTTTAATTTACATATAGATCATATATTAAATTCTGCTTTTCGAAGTCTAGGATTCATACTAAGGCTAAGTAAACCATTCTGTAAAACTATTACTCTAAAAATTTTGTATTTCTCTTTCGTTCGATCTCTTTTAGACTTTTGTAGCATTATCTGGAATCCATGTTACCAAAAACATGTCAACAGACTAGAAAGAATTCAAAAAAAGTTCATTAAAACTCTGAATTTCCGCAATAACATACAAAATGAATCATATAATGATGCCTTGACCAGATACAAACTACTAAGCCTTTCTAATAGGCGCAAAATGTTTGATATTATTTTCCTTTTCAAAATTCTCAATTCACAAATTGATTCATCTTTTCTTCTTAGTAAAGTCTCTTTTTTGGCACGCATTCGTCTTCCAGTGCGCCCCTCACGCAAATTATCATTCTTTGTTCCTCCAAAATTGCATAAAAATTATACACGAAACTCTTACTTTTATCGTTCCACCAACATTTATAATAAAGAATTCTCCGAGCTTGATCTCTTTAATTTGTCAATTTCTGTATTGAAGACAAAGTTAAAAGATATACTATGTAATTAGATAGTTTGCTTAAGAGCAATGTAAGTATAAAATTATACAAAGTCATTCTTTTGCCGAATGTTTTTGTTTTATATGTATGCGTGTCTTATCATGTAGATTCTCTTGTTTATTTAATTCAAAAAATGTAACTTTTAGGTACTATTGGTCTGTAATTTAAAGCACATTTAATCATACACACTTTGTTATGTAAATGACTGTTTGATACCAAAATAAATGAAAAAAATAAATAAATAAATAAATGGTCTACAGCAGAGGTTGCATAATTCTCTGCAAGAAAAAGAGATAAAGATGCCTCAGCTGCACTACTTTGGTTCACTCAGCTGCACTACTTTGGCTCACTCAGCTGCACTACTTTGGTGTACGTATTTATTTTGTTAACGTTTTAAGTAAAGTATAATGCAGTTGTATGTAATTAAAAAACGCGCTAGATCTGGCGCGAAAAGCGCTAAGTTGGCAGCACTGCTACGCTGCCACGCCCACAAGGCCCTTCTAACGTCTTTCTGTGTTCCGTGATAGTATAACTATCAGTAGGGTCACTCGAGGCCCGAGCGAAAGATAAAAGCTTAAACATGTATGGTAGTGGGTGGCTTATAGGTTATCCAATCGTCAGAAATACATGGTCTCTATAAAATATAGTTTCCCCTGTATGGTAAGCATCAAAAGCATCCGGAAACTATAATACAACATTTTTTCATGTTTTTTTTTATATATAGACCAGGAGCTGACTACATTTTTTTTATACCTACGTCATGTCATATATTTTGTGGTTTTGGAAAATTAAAACGTGGTTTTAATGAATTATATATTTAGGTACCCACCATTCTTGTTTTTTAGGTCATTACCTACACATTTGAAGAAAGACAAATCTGCATTTGATAAACTGTTATTGAATCATCCATATACGCTACAATAATATTGTTTCATTTTCAAAGCAAAGTTGTAACGAGCGGCAATATAGCGACGCGAAGTATGCACGGGCACGGCGTACTAACCGTGATTGACGAGTAAGGAACATAATATAATATCATCGATAAAATTTAAGGGCGTGTGCGTGCGACGACGCACACGCACTGCACACATTTTCGGTGGGTATGTATGAAGAGAATTTACTCTTCTCTTCTCTTGTACTCTGGTTTTGTATATAAATCTGGGGGCCAATTCTACTAAATAAATTTTGTTTAAACAGAATCGGAACCGAACGAAACTACAGTTTTTAATGGTTTTTCTATTCTACTAAGTGACATACGATACAATTCCAGCTAAAATAGAACTAAACTTGACACATGCCTAGGTTTATGTAGGATATATTTTTTATAAAAAATTCTGGTGTGGGATTCTGGATCAGACTAGACACTATGTGTGGGCTTTATACTATCAATTAGTATTTTCCTTTTATCGATAATTACGATATTAAGTATGCATGGAACCATCATAAGTATAAGAAAATAAAAAGAATATATATTTATTTATAATTTTTAATACATGAATTGCACATTACTTAAACTGTTTTAGTTACAATTATGTACCTACTATATAGGAAGGAATGTAACTTCTATTGGGAAAAATAGTATGCAAAAAATAATAAGCAGATTCATTAAGACGGCACTAAAGATTTAGGTCGCCGATTCCCTAGTTACACTAATTAGTTAATCTATAAATAAATTCAATGTAGTCTTGATTTCCAAATCACTAAATGGCAAATCTTTAGAAACATAAAACATATATCTATTATATCACAAATTTCCGTAATTACAGCTCATTCTAGGATTTAATAAAACATTTGTATACATTATTGCATTTAAACTATTAGGTGTTTGGAAACTTACAATCGAAACAAGTTTAAGACAGCATGTTTTTAGAGTCTCAGTGCAAAACTATTTCGAGGTGAATTTTATTATAAAGAAAAATATACAGCTCATGTAGACATGAGCGGATATGTTAAGAGTTACTCTAAATTTACTTAGCAGCGAACTTATTGCCCGGAGGTGGCGGTGGTTGAGAATACATATTATAGTAGCTACTTGGTGGAGGTACACTGAAGTTCTGTCCTTGTTGGTATCCTTGTGATTGAGTCTTGAAGCCTGAGTTTTGGTATCCTATAAAGTAAATGAAGTTATTAATAGTTTTTGAAATAAGTAGATCAAAGGAGCGACTTTACCGGATTTTAAATCTACAGAAAAGGAGTGGACAGACATGACGATATCAAAAATAAAATCTCTAAGATAACTTTGTAGTTCAAAAAGAAAAACAAAATACCCGACTGCATAAAACGAATTTTAATACATAAGTTGAAATTAACTTGAATAAAAACTAAACAAGACAGAAACAAGCCCAGTAGTTTAGAATTCTGATAATTAATACCAAATGATGATGATGATGATGATGATGATATTGGCAAAATTGTGCGAAATGCGCATATAAGCCATTAATAAAAGAAGAAGAAGAAGAATCGATTGACTTAAAAATCATCAAAATCGGCCTACGCATTTGGTCTCTGGAACGCCACAAGGAACAAACATACATACATAAGACTACATATTACCCTCCTTTGCGTCGCGCAGTAGGGTAAATATGTATACCAAACTTTTTAATTTTATTTTGTGATAAATGTGTCTTAAAATTACGATTAAGTGATACATTGTTAAACAAAAATATTATTTCTTATGCTATAGCTATGTTCAAATATTAATAATAAAAATACTATAAAGTCATGCTATATGAATAAAATAATTATGTTCTAAAGGAGTGGTTCTGTGGTCGCTGTAAGCATTCCAAGTGGTCTGTGGAGTGGATATTTTACTATAGATATATACGTACCCACAGAACAACTCTTTATTTATCTAAATATAAGTACTGCATAACAGACCACGTGGGTGGTACGTAGCTAGATAGAAATTTGTCAAATGATCCCTAATGATAGAAGGGTTAAGAATTACTTGTCTAGTGTCAGCAAGCAACATACCTCCTTGGTTCTGGTATCCGGAGGACTGGTTGTAATTGTTCTGTGAGAAGGATCCCCGCCCCCCGCGCGTGCCCCCTCCCCCTCGCGTGCCCCCGCGGCCACCGCGGAACCCGCCGCCGTCCTGTCGGCTGCCGTAGCTAGAGCTGTCTCTGTTGAACCCTCCGCTGCCGCCGTCTTTGTTGCCGAAGCCCTGCCGACCGTCGCGACTGAAACCCGAGCCGCCGCCGCCACCTTCCGAATTGTCCCACCGAGATCCTATTATGTGTGAAAATAAATGTGAATCCTAATTCACTCAAATTTAAAATGATCCACACTGAAAATTGACAAAACACGTAAACTGCTATGCGGTATGCATAGCAGTTATCTGAACATTGTTGTGGTTTATCTATACATATATATATAAATATGAATGCCTATTTCCCTTGGTCACGTTATCACACATGAATGGCTGGACCGATTTCGATAATTCTATTTTTGTTGTGTTTCAGTGCAATAAAGGATTTCAGTACATTTTTATTTAACACGTGTTTAAAGACTCACTTTCGGTGTTTACAATGGATTAAAAAAATAGCGCTTTATGAGCAACTGCATTGAAAATTATTTTAATGTAACCCTATGAAGCGTGGTACAAAGTCCAGCTAGTATGTATATATTTTTAAATAAAATTAATAATAACAATTACCTCCCCTATCTCCACGTCGTGATACACCACCGCGACCCCCGCGGCCCCCTCGCCCGCGTCCCCCGCGGCTGTCCCCGTCGTCGTTATCACGGTACCTGCCGCGACCTGTATACATGCATACACCATTTAAAGCAACAATTCCCAAAATGTGCTCCAAGAACCCTATGACTTATATAATTTGATCTTATTGATATTTAAATATAATGGATTCGTAAAATTAAAAATAAATATACCACCAGTTCATTAACAAATAAATAAAATTAAAAATATCTTACCATATTTTCCTTTGAATCCCATACCACACTGAGCTAGCTCTAATAATTTAGGGTTCACTACTTGATTAGCTTCTTGCAGCACTGACATGAGATCCTTTGCCTGCATAAAAAATATTAGTTTATGATAAAACAAATTTGAAACTCAAGCTACACATCAATCCATCTTAAGTCTGCCACTCATTTGAGATAAATACAATTCACTGAGATTCTTGGTAAACATAAAAGATTTTCTATATTGCTTCTGAATGCTTATAAATATACTTGCCTTAGCAGCATTATTTGGTGTGAACAGCGTATAAGCAGTGCCAGTGTTTTGGGAGCGACCAGTACGTCCGATACGGTGCACATAGTCCTCAGAATTATTCGGATAGTCATAGTTTATTACAAATTTCACATCCTCCACGTCTGTGGAAATCATTTGTTGCATTAATCAAATGTAAAAAAAAATAATGAAATAAAGTATGAAACATAATCAACAAAGCTAGAAAATAAAATAATAAAAAATATATTGAGACAACAATTCTTAGGTGTATAAAAATGAAGAACTAAGTAAAATTCTTGTGGAACACAAGCTTGAGGTTATTATAATTTTCCATGTTATAATTTTGAAAAGCAATATGGTATTAGAATTAATATTAACACATAGTCAAAAATAAAAAAAATTAAAAAAATTAACATAGAACTCTCAATATTGAGTTTATCAATTGTTTTAGGTGTTCTAAATCTAAGAGTTGCTGCCTCAAGAATTCCATGTATGGTTACCTTAAAAGATCTCGCCCTGTTTCGACGAATCAGCTGGAAATAACTGTATTATGCCCTTCAGTGGTCCCGGAGTGTTGTAGGCCAAGATTCGAACGGTGTGCTGACTTATAACGTAGCGACCTTTGTAGTGACTAGTGATACGATAACTTGTCAGGTGGCGTAGGGCAAGGCCCTTTAGTAAATCTCTCATGACATCTAACCAAGCATATATTGCTCATCTGTACTTCATGGTCTTACTCAATCTTGATTAAAAATTTTACTGTGACAATGTCTTTACACAGATAGAATTATTAAGAGCTAATTTATGGACTGTAAACACCTTAAACAACTGTTATATAACAAACTATAACCTTGATGGAATATGTTAATTTCTGTTTGTTTGTAAAACCATAACGGTAATAACACTATAATCCAAGTTAAATTTGTTTTATAGAGGCAGCATGCTCATTCAAAATGTGTGCGCTGACAGTTTAATAGTGCTGTCATTAATGATTCCGTTACTATCACAATTCGCAATAATTAATCGTGAAGTCAGCAACACACCACTAGACTAGCCTTTATCTCTGCACGCATGCGCCTCTGAAATAAAAGAACATTCGAGAATAATGCCAAGTCAGTCATGGAAATTTATATTTATTATCGGGCTATGATTTTTTATCTTAAGATGAATGTAAATGTGACAAATTGGTAGCTTTGATCATACAATATAATATATTATATACTGGTTGATCGCCCTTAATCTGTTTTGCATACACATTTACTTTTACCCTCATCAACAATTTTTTTATTACACATTTGTTTTGTTTTAGCTGATTTTCATCATAAGATTCTTAATCATCGTGGCCCGAAAATAGCTCTGTGGTAATCAAACCATTGCTGTTTCATTTGATTTTTACATTCTTTATAGGTGGCCATGTTCCAATATTCACATTACAATGACACAATCAAGCTAATAAAATCTTATATTCAATCACTTAGCATCAAAGAATCATACTTTTTGTTTGAATTGGGAATCGAACCCAAAATGTTTGCAAAAGTTGATAAATCATAGACTGACTGAATTATTATACCCAGATTATAATAAAAAAAAAGCTATTTAAAAAATCAGCTTTAAACTGGTAAGTGTAATTTCTAATTTTTGTAAAGTATGAAAGAATATTCTCCCAAGGAAATAATTTTTCAAAAGGATGAATACAAGTAAGAAACTATTGTTTACTAGAGCTTACATAGATAGAACTTAAAGTTTTAAAATTGCAATAGAAATCAAATTCCAACCTTAGACAGACTGGGCTGAACATTGGCTAGAGCTTTCTTTAGCTAAAAACCAAATTTTTCTTCTAATAGACCATAATCATTAAGTCTTGGTTTTAATATTGCATCTTTATATAGTTGGTGAATACTGGAACCTCTTTTCTCTAAAGGTTGTATTATAAACCTCAATATCTCAAAAACATCTCATAACTTCGCAATGGCATCAAATACCTCCCTCTACGCTCCTGACATATCTCTTAGACCTTTGAAACACCCCGGTATAACAGTGCGAGATGATTTAGATTCATTTATGGTCTATGATAAAAAGACCTCGCAACTGTATAAACAAATAATCTTCTGTTTGATGCCTTTTATTTTATTTACTATCAATATGGCGGGAGACATCACCACCATTTTCTTCATAAAGCTTAATATGCACAACATATGGTTCAAAATTTATATTAAATTAATATATTGTCATTACTATTGCTACGAAATATGGGTGGCACAAACATAAGATAAACAACTTCTGGGCAATTAACAGTGAAAATATCTACAATCACATCATGATTGATGATGATCATATTGATGATTCTGATCATGATCTCTCATCAATAAAAATTTTCATCAAAAGTGCTCTCCATGTTATACAGCATATTTTTAAAACCATTTATATTTCATACTAGCCTTAGTAAATTAGTGTTTCTCCTTAATTTTATAGTATTTTTGCTTACCTAACCCTCTAGCTGCGACATCTGTAGCGACCAGAATACCACCGTTCGATTGGCGGAACTGATTGAGGACGTAATCACGATCTAGTTGATTTTTATCTCCATGGATAGCAAGGGCTCGCCAACCAGCACGGTTTATAGCTTTTGTTATGTCATCAACCTAAGATAATATTTTATTTTTACATCACAAATTGTTGTAACACATTTTCTCAATTCGTCTTGCTTTTGAAAGATTGTGATTGAGAATAATAATCATTGGCATACACAATATATAACATATATACTTAACATCATAGTATAAACAAGGATGAAGGACACTAATACTTAGTTACATGCTTACCTTTCTCTTAGTTTCAGCGAATATAATTGTTTTAGTTTCCTCCTCAGATGATATCTCAGTAAGCAGTGTGATAAGCTTATCATTCTTCTCCCATTCTTCACACACATCAACAATCTGTAAGATGTTATGATTGGCTGATAGCGAGAGAGAACCAATGTTGATCTGGATATAATCATGCAAGAACTCTTCAGCAAGGTTTTGGACTTCCTTTGGCCAGGTAGCAGACCACATGAGCACCTGCCTATCTGGCCTGATTTGCTCAATAATCTTCCGGATCTGAGGCTCAAAACCCATATCCAACATTCTGTCAGCTTCATCTAACACCAAATATGTGCACCTCTTAAGATTTGTTGTATCTAGAAATAAATGTATTTTTTATTAAATACATATTGTAATTATGTATTATTAGTATGCATATTTTCAGAGGACAATATTGTTGACTTAATATACAGGCAAAATAAGAAATTCAGATTAAATCTGGGTTGTAATGAATTCACTAAGTTATACTTTGATAACCTCCAGGGGCGAGAAGATCGCACGCTAGTTCAAAAGTGTCATATTTGAGGTCCTAGGTTCAGTTCCAGATCAAGCCAATGTAGATGTTATCGACGAAGAGGGTGACGAGGAATGGTGTGGGCACAGGTGTGAAAATAAACAATTTATCTTCTCAAAACTATATTGTCCACAAAACAAATATCCTCGTCAAAGCACGTGACAATCAATAATAATCCATATGTCAATACAAAAACAAAATTAAATAAAAATCAAATATAATAAAAAAAACTATAAAAACAAAGACAACGTATAAAAAAGGTCGGTTCAGCTGACGATCCTCAACAGTAGATGATGACCTTTTCTGTATGTATCATCTCGTTTTTTTCTCCGTCTCATTGGTCCATGTGTTGTGTTTGTTTATTATTATTTGATTTGTGATCAATATAAATTTACATTTATAAGAACCACGAAAAAATATGTCAAAACTTATAGAAGGAATTTAACATAAAGTCAAAGTCAAATATATTCTTTGAATAGTGATAATCGAAAGGTAAGCTGTTACCTTTCTCCAAAAAGTCTATCAGTCTTCCTGGTGTCGCTATCACAATTTCCACACCCCTCTCCAGGCAACGGCCTTGAGGTCCCTTTGGAGCACCTCCAAAGACGCAAGTGTTTCTCACTTGTACACTTTGGCCAAAATCATTGGCCACCTGCAAATAAAGGAGTTATTGTAATACAGTTGTTTTTTAACGAATTAGCAGATGAACTCAACAATAAAATTTGAGTCAGTGTTGCCTGTTTACTCTTAAGTGTATCCTGTCTATAATAAATGCAATGTATATAAATGTATATTGAAAATGAATATATTTTTTCTGTTGTGAACACAACAATTAATTAGACTAGAATGTACACTTAAAAAGCTTTTTTTTTTTACCTAATAACTGAAGCAAAATCATCAGTTATTAGGTAAAATTGCAATAAGATACTACTTAATGTGAAGTAATTACAACTGGCAACACTAATTTGATTTTATTAAATACTCCAGCCACCTCAGAATTGTTTTTATACCTAGTTTGAATGATTTACATTAATTTTATATGAAAATATGATTATAAAACTCATATATTGAAACTTTATGAATTGACTAGAGCGATGATGATTTCTTCATGATGTTATGAATAGGTATCATAAGTGAAATAAAATGTATAAAAGTGAGAATCATATAAGTTAACCAATATTTAATTTTGTACCTCTGAAGGTCCTGAGACATTGTGCACAGTAAAAATATTGTAGACACTTAATAATATAGTTATAGGAATAGTATTCTTCTTCAGAGACACAAAATATTGAGGTATGTTATAAAATATGAGGTACTACAGTGATACCCTGAAAATTTGTTTTTGTAATTCATATTGTAATAACATGAACTGCAGGTTTCTGCCAACTATATTTTCTCACACTATAACTGTAATAGGAATCTGACAAGAAAAGAAATATTCTTTTTATTGGATAGTAAAACGGGATACACACCAAACCATTCAGTCATCAACCAATTCAGGAGCGCACCACACAGAATCACTTGTGCAAGACACCCCAGTGGACAGTGGTATCTTTTCTTTTCATGCTTATGCTTGATATTTACATAATACAGTTACTGTATAGAATGGTGTAGCATATAATCCTTCATATTCATTGAAGAGAATTCAATATGTCAAGGTACCATCAAATAGATAAGTAAATTGCTAAATAAATTGAAATAATTACAGCTTTGCTAACTAAAAGACTAACAAAATAAATAAACAGTGATAAATGACAAAAACACAGAAAAAGGCAAAGTGCTACAAATAAAATATAAAATTATCAAGGTTACGTTCAGAAACCTCACCTAACATAAAATAAATTTAGAATTTTGTTCATCAAAAAATTTTATTAGCAAAAACCATCCCAAAAGTTTCAGGTTTTCGAACATAGCCTGCCCATTTCAAAGCTAATCTCTACATATTAATATTAAATCAAGTTACTATGTCCAAGTTGCTTGGATCACTGTCCAGCATCTCCGCAGCAATCCCGTTCATTGAGACCAATGCCTGTTGGTGCACAATGAAAAAAAAAACAAATGTTCGTCTTACTTCAATGTAACATTACAAAGGGAATTGTTTAATTATTCACCAGATTAAAATGGCAGGCCTAATTTTCATCAACATAAAAAGATCATGATTTGAAAAATAAACAAGAAATCTGTTTACCTGCTGGATTTGTTGAGCCAACTCCCTAGTAGGAGCTAGGACAAGTACAATTGGACCTTCATCTCTCAGCAATCTAGGCTGATTAATAATATGGACTATAGCAGGAAGAATGTATGCTAATGTCTTTCCAGATCCCGTCTGTGCGATTCCAACCATGTCACGCCCAGAGAGAGCGATTGGCCACCCTTGTGCTTGAATAGGAGTTGGATGAGGGAATCCTTGTTTCAGGATTTCTTTCATAGCATAATCAGGGAAACCACCTTCTTCAAAGTACATGCTAGGAGCAGGGACATCGCGACCGCGTACTGTAATTTGATTTTGGCTACGGTATGCTTCTACTTCTGCAGCAGGACGCCTCTGAACATTTGGATGTGGAACATAGAAGTTTTTCTGGAACGGCGTGAGCTGAACGTTGTCCCAGCGAATTTTCCGTAGACCACCGCCGGGTTGCTCATTCTTGAAATTGCTACGGAAATCGTCGCGTCCGCGGCTACTGAACCCTCGGCCGCCGCCATCTCTGCCTCCATCGCGTCCATCTCTGCCGCCGCGGCCACGACCACCCCCTCCGCGGCTACGATCCGAAGATCTGTCATCGGAACGGCCGCCGCGAAACCCACCTCCACCACGACTTCCGCCCCGCCCTCTACCTCCACCTCGTCCACCACCACGACCGCCACGTCTATCGTCGTACCTGGACAACAAAAATTTCCATTTATAACTCAAGCAACATTGGTGAAGTAAAATGTTTAACGTTTAGTCACAACTTACATGTTTCTCGAGGATATTCAAAACTTTATAATGCACTAAACACTTATTTATTAAATGAACTACTTGATTATTACTTTAATAGTAACTTTTATCACTTATTTACAGTACTAATTTGGGCGACGCTGGCAAACAAAACTTAATTTCACGATAAGCTAACGGCCGCCATATTAGCTCAAATATTGTTTTTTTAAGCAGTCTTTTCATTAAGGCAAAGGGATCTTTTTCCTATACAGTCGCATCAATATTAAAATAATGAGGAAGTATTAAAAAAACGAAAGCATTAAAAAAGCACCTCGACTAGATGGCGACTCTAGCAAAAGTTGATTTTTGCAGGAAATGAATAGACTGAAGACAATAATTTCCGTTCCTTTTAACTAACATATTAATAAACTGAATTAATTTATTTTATCTTTTATGACTGACTTGTTTAGATTAGACTACAGACAGACTGCCTGATTGGTCTCCTATAATTCCTACATTACTTGTATTAACGGTAAATTATCATTAATAATGCTCTGTGTCTATAAGCACATTTAAATAACAAATTCGCGATTAATCGAGAATCGATTCTAGTATGTTCGATTTGAAGCGAATCAGAGATCGATTTTTTTTCAAGTCAATCGACATGCCTATACTCCGTTCATTACACGAATGTCAACTTAAACTGGATTGCGTACTGATATATTTCTTAAAATCAAACTTACACTTTATCTAATACAAAATAAGGTTTATTATTCTATGTCACATTTCAGAGTAGAAAAACGGTCTACTAGAGATATTAGATTTGTAGTAGTAGGTCCTTTTTTTTTTTTTTTTATTTATTGTTTTAACGGCACTGGGTTCTTGCCCTTTTTGCCAAACTTATTATCTTACAATCAGTTCATTATAAAACAAGGAAAGATAAATCCATGCACTAAATAGTTAAATTAGTATTTTGTATATAATCATATAAAGCTTTATAGCATCTTGTATCACTGAGGAGCGTATGTAAAACTTCACTGTTATTGTCAAAGATTACAATATTATACTGGTAATTATTGTCAAGAACATCACTGTCACTGTCACTATTTAGATTTGTTACCTCACTCGCTAAAATCAGTCTATGAATTTTAAAATCTTGCTGTTGGCATTTCAATAATAAATGATTTAAATCGGCACCTTCTTCGTTACAATAAATGCACTTAGAGTTGCTGATGATTTTCAGTCTGTGCAGATGGGCAGGAGTTTTGCAGTGGCCAAATCTCATACGGCAAATGGTGGTAATTAGATTGCGGTTTATAGATCCTTTAAGTTTTGATGGATGGTACCACGGACGAGCGGGCAATGTCTTCTGTATGTCGTGGTACCATTTCCCCTTTTCTAATGCAATTGCATGCCAATAGTTGGTCCACAACAGTTTGTGGGATTCTGTTAGGTAGGTGTTAAAGTCGGTGTACGGTACTTTGCATATCTGACTGTGGTCTTCATCAGGCTTATTTCTGGTGACTTCATCTACGATTTCGTTCCCAGTGATGCCATGGTGTGATGGTACCCACAGAAACTTGATACTTATTCCCTTATTTTGTAATATATATAGTTGGTTCTTTATGTACAAAATTAAATAATTAATGTTATTTTTAAATACCTTACTTTCTAAACTATTTAGGACACTCATTGAGTCTGTTATAATAATAAAATTCTTATTTTCTACAATATTATCTATATATAAAATTGCTTTATATATTGCATAACATTCAGCAGTATAGATACTGCAGCTACTATCTAATTTAAAACATTTAGTTTGTTTTAGTTGAGGGTCATATAAAGCTGCAGTTACATTATTTGTATTTTTAGATCCATCAGTATAAATTTTATATTGAGGTATTTGTTTCTCAAATAAATCTAATAAGTCATTTTGATGATTTATTGTATGAGTAATTATATCTACTTTAATATTTATAAGTTGTTTGAGACTAAATTGGTATAATACTAAAGGGTTACAGGTAAATATATTTACAGCTTTTTCTTTAATGTGAATGATAATCCTCAATAACTCTGGAAAATGCCCTGTTATCAATTGGTTAATATTAATATATGGGCCAACTGGTAGTTGTTCCTGGGGTAGAATTCTATTAATAAGTGGTTTATTTTCTGTGGCTATTAATTTGAGACAGAATTTTTCAGCAATTTTTAATCTATGCAATTTCAGTGGTGGAATACAAGATTCACATTCCATTGCATTTATAGGAGTCGAACACATTGCACCAGTAATAATTCTTAGTGCCTTATTTTGAATAACATCGAGTTTCTGTAACTGTGTACATTTGGCATTCATATAGGCAAGACAGCTGTAATCAAAGTGACTACGTACTATGCTTTTGTATAACATGCTAAGTGTATGGGGATCAGCACCCCAGTGAACACCTGCCAATGATCTAATAATGGTCAACCCTTTATTAGCATTTTTTGAAATATATTTAATATGGCTTTCAAATGTTAATTTAGGATCTACATACACCCCCAGAAATTTCTTTTCAGACAGCCATGGAATGGGAACACTATTATATTTAACATTGTTATCACAAATATTTGATTTTTTACTAAACAACATGGCACCACTTTTACTAGGGTTAATTTTTAATTTCAATTTATTTTCATAAAAATTATGAATCTGTATAAGGCCTTTGTTTAAATTATTTACAGCAATATTTACATTTTGATCTATAGTATATAAAACAATATCATCTGCAAATTGAAGAAATTTGATATTTGAATTTTTTAAATAAGTGGTAATCTGGCTGGTGTATATATTATACAACAATGGTGATATTGTTGCACCTTGCATGGTGCCTTTATATACAGAATTTGGACCATGAAGAATGTTATTATATCTAACATACATTGTTCTCTCAAATAAAAAGTTAAATATCCATTTACATATTTTTCCAGGAATTCCAGATTCTGATAAAATATGGACAAGTATTTCAGGATCTACATTGTCAAAAGCTCCCTGAATATCTAAGAAAACACAAGCTGTATTTGAGTGACTGAAAAAAGAGTTTTTGATATCGGTTATAAGGGAAATAAAATTTTCTGTTGCACTATGACCCTTTCGGAAACCAGACTGTTGTACAGGTAATTTATTGTTACACTCAAGATACCATTCCAATCTTACTTTTAACATATATTCAAATATTTTTCCTATGCAAGATGATAATGCTATGGGTCTATAAGAATTATGATCATTTATTGGTTTATCTGATTTCAAGATGGGTATGATACATTGTGTTTTCCAAGAGTCTGGGATTTCTAGTTTATTCCATAATAAGTTATATATTTGCAATAAAATCTCTAGGGCATTTGGATGCATATTTTTCAATACTTCATAAGTTACATTATCTAATCCTGGGCTAGTATTTTTTCTACTTGCTAGAGCACTTTGCAACTCTTGCAATGAGAATGGTTCAGATAAGAAGCTATTTGTATTATTATCATTTTTATTAAAGATACTAGTTAAATTTGAATTATTTTGTGAATTAGCTGGTGGAACTGATGGAGCATATTTTTCTATAAATTCAGGAATCCAATCATCTAATCTAAATTTATTTTGAATACCTATGTTTTTAAATCTTTTCATATAATTCCAAATAATGCTAGTAGGTGTATATCTGTTAAATGATTCACACAACTTATGCCAACTAGTTCTCTTTTTCTTACGAAGTAAAAGCTTTTTCTGTGCATCAACTTTTTTGTACATAATGTAGCTCTCAATGGTTCCATCAGATCTGTATTTATTTAGTGCTTCTTTGCTGAGTCGAACTGCATTTAAACACTCATTATCCCACCATGGAACTGGATTTCTCTTAATATAGTGAGACTCTTTTTTAAATATAGGGATACATTTTTTCATAAGATCTATCAATTTATTATAAAATATGTTGTATGATTCTATAGGGTTACTATTATCATAACAAAAATTTGAAAATTCTTTTTCTGTTTCAGATTTGAAAAGAGACCAGTCTACCTTATGAAATAAGAACTTCTCACATGGTGTGCCAACAATGTATTTATCTATTGAAAGTTGCAATTTGGTGATAGTTGGAAAATGATAACTACCCATGGGATCATCATGTACTGACCAGTCACATAGAGGTGCTAAAGATGGACTTACACATGTGATGTCAATAGCTGATTGTCGGTGATGAATAGTACCAACTGTAGTAGGAGAACCATTATTCAAAATACACAAATCGAACTCATCAAGAAGATTATAGATTTGATTTCCTCTAGTGGAAGTTGTATTACAACCAAATGCTATGTGATGAGCATTCAGATCACCTGCTAACATTATGGGCTTAGGAAGATTTTTCAAAATTTGTTGTAATATATTTATCCTGAAGTTATTGTTTTTACCTGGTGGAGGGGTATACACAGTTAGAATGGTCAAACGACCCCTACATGTGACTACACTGATAGCTGTAGTTTGTGTATGTTCATAATATTTTGTTGGTATAATATTATATTTTAAATTATTGCGTATTAATATACCAACTCCACCATGACCATCAGGTCCATTTTGAGCTACAAAGTTATAGTTTTGAATACTAAAATTACTTCTATCTCTCAACCATGTCTCATTCAGAAGACAAATGTCTATGTCCTTTTCATTAATAAAATTAACTAGCAAAGGTTTTTTAGAGTTTATACTTTGTACATTAAATTGACATATATTAATAAATTTTTTATCCATTTTTAAGTTTGTCTATTAATACTTCTTTAATAACAGAAGAGGTCAACTTTCTTGCATCATTCCCCAATGCTACTAGTGTACCTACTAATCCTTTAAGAATTATGTCACTTTTTAAAACTTCATTTAGTAACTGTTCAGATGACATAGGTTCATAAGAAGTAGTAGATTTCATAGTTTTTGCGGGTAATGCCGGAAAAGTAGAATTATAATTATTCATGAGATTATTATCGTTTTTAGTAATAGCGTTAGCGTAAGTTATTTTATTAGTTTTTTCCATAATTTTATGTTTCTTAACAGGACAATCTCTCGAAATTGCCAAATGTTGTCCTCCACAGTTAATACATTTTTTAACTGCTTCACTGTTACATTGAGAATAATGATGTTCTCCTGCGCAAATAGAACACTTTTGAGTGGAATTACAAACTTTAGCTCCGTGATTAAATTTAAGACATTTATAACATTGTAATAAAGGAGCTATATATTCGTAAACTTTAAACCTAAATATATCTAGGTATACATAGTCTGGTAAGATGTTTGTCAAAAATGTGATACTCACTGATCCGAAGGGCTTTACAACTCCGTCAACAATTTTTTGAAATCTACGAACAGTTACAATTTCATATGACGAAGATAGTTTCTTAAAGAGTTCCTCATTTGAGATATTAGTGGGTACAAACCGAAGAACACCGATTTTCTCTACTGCTCGTGCTGGAATGTATGCTCTGAAATTGTGGTGATTGAGAAAACCTTCATTTTTTAGAAAATTATTTGCATTGTTTGCTTGTGAGAACGTTACACCGACTTTATTAGCGTTAATGCGTCTTATATTCGTTACACCTTTAATTTCATTCTTAAATAGGCTTGCTAATACTAGGGGATTCCTGTTGCCGATTTTCTCCTTTTCTACAAAAACACAGAATTCTTTTCCAATTGCATTATCAGGAAATACTCTCGTATAACCTGATTTACTATACGGTTTATAAAAATCTTTGCCCATATCTTTAGAATTAATATTAGTCTCATTTTCTACACTTTCTCTCAGTCTTTTTGTAGGACGATAGGAATCGACCCCGGGGCCGTCACCCCCCGGGGTTTTATTCATTTTTATTATTTCTATATCACTAATTACACAATTCCACTAAAATGAAATGAAATTATTTAATATGTACAGTATTTAAACAAATTAAAATTTATCTTTAAAAATCGCGCCCTTCTTTTTCAAAAGCCCGCCAAAAAGTCCAGTAGTAGGTCCTTGTCTAACGAGTTGCCATTGGAAAATTAAATAATTGTTATTGGCAATTAGGAGATTTTATTGATTTTTTAAAGACATCACTAGGTAATTTTAATTATTATCTATTAGTAAATATATTGAATAGACATAGTTGATATGTTTTTTAAGTAAAAGTGTGAATTAATTAAAATTATAATGTAAACCGATGTCGTGTTAGTAGTTTTTCGTTACATCTAAGTAGCAATATTATAAATTAATATGGCCGCTCGATGTGACAACATAAACAATGTTAAAGTTTAATGTTTATTTGTGTTTTGACTTACTAATTCGATTATTTACATCAAAATGGTATATTGTTTTGCTTGGCTGATTGCAAAAATGAATGGTATCACGAATGTGACTTCACATTCCACAGGTAAGCTGTTTTCCTTATTTATTAAACAGTGATGAAATAGGGTGTCTACGATCAAGATACAAAACCATATCAAAGAGGCTTTGATTTAAATTAATATTCATACGTTTATATTATAAACATTTATAAGTTTTACTTACGCTACCCGCCATTCTTCGTTATCAATATTTTCACGGTAGGTACAAAGTTATTTGGAAAATGAAAAACGGGAACTAGCTTAATTATGTTTTGGAAAATATCTGAATGGCCTACACATTAGTTTGGATAAATATTTATAAAGTAATAATTTTCTTATGCTGATCATGACAAAATTGCTCTTATGTTTCTAGGATCCTAAAGGATAAAAGTCTAGCTGAAAAATGGAGGACAATAATACCAGGCAAAGTGATCCGTTGTATTCTAATACAATTAATAGGAAAAAAAAAACATTTCTATCCTTTTAATTGATTTATACATTATAGATGATTATAATAACATTTATGTACTTGTTTTATTTCCTACAAAATAAATATCTTTACCGATAAATAAAAACTAATTTATCGGTTAAATTTCTAACATCATCATTCATAATATCTGTAAAAATTTATAAAATTATATCAGTAAATGTTTAAATTTGGTCATGTAAACATTATTAAATATTACCTATTTATGAAATTATTAAAAACGCGTGGACATCCTACAAAACTACTAAGACAGAGATGAAGAGTTACTAATTTACTCTCTCACTCTGCCCGTTTTTAATGAAACACTGCACAATCCAGTTTAAATTGACATTCGTGGTTCATTATAGCATTAGACAGAAGTGAAATAAGGTTCTTTTTATGGTATACTTTGTGACAAAATATCAATAATCATGTTACTTTTAAGACTGACGGCTAATTTGCTACATATTCATTTAAGCTAACTATTAAACAAATTTATGAGTATATGACTAACTTAAATTATTTAATATGTATTACAATAAAAAGTGTCCATCGTAAAGAACTTAAAGAAGCAGGGTTAGATAGTTTCGGCATGATTCTCATGTCACTATAACTCTACCAAATTTAAAACGTTGCCTAACCCCTTCAAGCGTTTCGGTAGTACAGCTTTTTAATTTTGTCAGATTATTATTTATTCATAATTGGTAATTCGCCTGTCCCATGGACGAATTATAATACTACTACTACTACATAATTGGTAAAATCGTAATCTGGGATTGTCATCCATTGTGAATGATACTGCCTTTCTTGTTGTTTAGCCGTTTTCCGTGATGTTATTGTTTTATTTTCGTTGTTAAGTTTTGGTAAATATGGACGATGCTGGTACAGGCCCGAGTGGCCTACTCAAACTTTGACATTTCACGGAGTTTTTCCAATGTCTTCATCAATAGTCTAACTTATTACACTTACAATTAGAATTTATCAAAACACACAGATAGTTTCAGTTTTAGTTCCATGTTGGCTTGGGACTAAAAGATGAATTTATAAAATGCTGGCCTCATCTCAACCCCAAGGTATCATAAAAAATGGAAAATTGCCCAGCTCTTTCAGACTACCTAACGTTCAAAGTTTCAACAAAACTAATATAGATTTTTTAAATTTATCTTGAAAATAAAATGTTCTGCACTGCTGCTTCTATGACCCTCTTTTTTCTAATGTTATAGTGAATGGAGTATAGGTGATACCACAGGCTGGAGTAACAATGACAGTAGTGATAACTATAGTGTACATTTGAATGCGTTAATAAATATTTATTTTATGCGTTTAAATTATCATTGCGTACGACAATAGGAAAATATTAAAAAACTAAAAATATCGTAGTCAATTTAGGATTTTTATATTGCTAGTTTTTGAATAAGGAAGTAAAAAAAAAAACGAAAGCACTAAGAAAGCGCTTCCACTAGATGGCGACTCTAGCAAAAGTTGATTTTTGCAGGAAACGAATGGAACAAAGACAGTCATTTCCGTTCATTTTAACAAAGTATTAAAAAACTGAAATTTGAAAAGTTCGAAAATTAGATATCAATACAAATACGAAAAATTACAAATGGAATATGATTTGTTTATTGAGTTTTGAAAACTAATTTACTTTTCGACATGAAAGAAAATCGGAAGGTTGTCATGGAGAAATCAAGAACGTACCGTAGCGACAGCTAGTTCCTCATTGAATTGAATCGGTCCGATTCGCGGTTTCATGCATCGATTCAAGAATCAATGTGGTTTTCGAAATCGATATGTACAATCGATTATTTTACTGCAAATAATCGAATTCTTGATTAATAGATTTCAGATCGACAAACCTACTCTAACTCTATTCACATGCCATCCTTTCACAAAACGCGCGAAATTTCAAAAACTTTTATGTTTATTTAAATTATAATAACATTACACACCTTATCACTTTGATTTTTTTTTATTAAGACGTATGTGTGTATTGGTAAAATATAATAACACTACGAATCATATTAATTATGTAGAATCTATGTAGGCCAATAAAATAGGTCATACTTAAAGTACACGACTATTGATCAAACGGTGATTCTCCTTGATTTATAAACTTGTAGTTTAGACAAATAAATAAAAAGTTGACTGACGAAATGGATGCATCGATCCCCGTTTTCGAAAAACCACATCCACGTCTGACCGTATTAGATTGGACTAGAAATATTCAGAGATTGCAGAACGAAGCGAGATTACGAAGATTTGAATCCTACGAATTACGCCAAAGAAGTAATCAGTTAAGGAATGAAACTGGTGTAACTACACGTTGGGATAATTATGTAAACAATGAACTGTTACGAGACAGGTTTGTTTCTGTTCTATTGTTTCTTTATTTTATGCCTATTAAAAAACGGGAAAAAAATATGAATAGTCTTTTCAATCTTTTTTTTCTTCAAGATAGATAGCCGTAGTTGATAATGTTAATTTCGCTATGAGATTAACAAATTGGGTACAAATAAATTTGCTGCTGGTAGTTATAATAATAATTATTGTTGCAATTATGTTATCTATTGTTATAAAACATACAGTCGACCCAGAGCGGCAATTTTTTTTTGAGATAAATATTATGGAAACGATTATGCATAGTAGGTATGCCGAAAAAAATAATCTTGTGATTTTATATAAAATCAAATATTTTTAAGAAACGTCTTGAATACTATTTTAAAACAGGATCTTTGAAGTGGAATCTTGGAGGGAGAAACAGAGGTATACGAGAGAATGCGTGAGGGACGAGATAAGAGCACTAAAAGAAGAGAAGAATGCCACGGAGCTCCATCTGGAATCGTTGCAGGTTCCTCTAATGGTCTCTCTGCAGTGTTTATCAAATAGAGACCAGAGAGTACCACCTGAACTAACCAGAGATCAACTAGGAGAGGAGCTCAATAAGGTGACCTTATAAAAAAACACCATTTATCTTCATTACCAGCTTATAAATATCCCCACTGCTGGGACATAGGCCTTCCTTAAAGATGGATGGATGAATCGAATAGGGAGAATAAGCCCACCACCCAGGCTCAAGTGCACATCGGTTGATGTTAATTACTGGAGATGCAAATGGGACGAACGGTTTAACCGGCCTTCCCAAACACGGAGCTCGAGATAATAATTTTTTGGTCACCCATCCTATGACAGGCCATTGCGAAAGTTGCTTAAATACTGTTCGCAGATCGAATTCTTTATTCACTGCGCTATTGAGCTGCTTCACGCAGTATAACAAGAGATTAAATATCTTACAACGGCCTCTTAAGTTTCTGTTTAAACTTTAAACATTTAATTCTTCTATATCATGATCATATTTACTTAATATAATAATAATAATAATAAATCGTTTATTTCAGAAAACCAGGTCCCATATTATAATACTTATTAATATAATACAGAGCATTCAATTTAACATTTTTTTCTTAATATGATTTAGTACATTTATTTTAACATTTACTTTTTGACTGGGAAATGAAACTTTGCTGGAAAGCTAATACTTTCTCAGACGTTTGAGTTAAAGTGTCAGTTATATCTGACCCGCGTTGCACCACGTCGCGACACGATCGGGTACACATTTGTATTCTCCCATACTAAATGAGAGATTGTGAGGAAGGCTGTGTCCGCCTTTAACACTAACAAAGACGCCAGATGTTACTGACCCTTTAAACATCGGTGGTAGCGTCACCTTTGTGGGGTCTCTTTCACTTCCCAGTCAAAAAAAAAATGTGAGAATGAGTCCGATCCACGTAAACACAACACAAGCTGGGTAGTTTAAGGTAAAGCCATAATAATAATAATAATAAACTTTATTTCAATACAAAAGAGAATATACAAGATACACAAAGAAAGAGAAGCAAATGGCGGTCTTATCGCTTAAAAGCGATCTCTTCCAACCAACCGCAAAAGGAAATTAGATACGGAGAACAATTTTAGGCAGTGCATTTGAGCAAAAGTATAATTTATAGTCATATTATTATACGTTAAAAAAAAGTTCAACAAATTCTGAAATTTTCAAAACTTAAGAGATAAAATTATTGCTCTGTACAGGAACTCCATATAATAGAGAACAGTAAGCGAGTGTTGACGGATGCCTGCCACATGGGTTGGGAGAAACTGAAGGATTTGACCAACGTGTTCTGTAGACTAGAGCGCGAGATACAGAACAAGGACGACGCCCTCATGCTTGAGTACCGCGTCAAAGAGTTGACGAGAGACAGCTCGGGTATATCATATAAGCTAGATCCAACACGGGTGCCCACCGAGTGAGTTCGTCATAACCAGTTAATATTTAGACATACCCGGGGTCCATTTAAATAAATATTTGACAATATATTTGACATTGTTCATTGATAACTCATTAGTTAGCTAAAGCACTTGTGTTATGAATATGTGAAACGACGAAGGTACCACCACATCACGCAGATGGGAAGCAATATAGAACACACACACACTTTACCTACGTGATTCTAATTAAAGGTTATCATTGTACCTATAATAAAAATTAATACTCAAGGTCAGGTTTTAAATTAGGTCCATGACAGAAGAGAGCTACGTTCACTGCATAGAAAATACCATAAAAATTGCTGAACAGCTGATGTCTGAATCAAAAGCGTTACGGGAGAGCATGTTCAAGGCGCGGGAACAAGCTCGGAACCAAATGTATGCACAATGTCAAACTGTGGAGGCAATAATGCGAAGACGCGTATACGACATACAACGGGCTAGAAACGAGATGGAGTGGCAGAAATATAAGGTATACTCATCATCATCATCTCTTTTTTTATTTTTATATGTCTTGTTTTTAAATTTAGTAAACATAGATGGAGGGGGGGAAGCTAACACACTATTCATCATGATCTGGTGCCAACCCTAGAATATTTACTATAGAAATAAAGGTTGAAAAATTAAAAAATCTTTTACCTTTACATAAACATTTGTTTAAAGGCTAAGCATGTAGAAGTGAAACTGCAATAAAGAGATAAACGTGAAAATTGACCAGTAAAACGCTAAGGAAGCCAAGACACAACTTCCTTGATCAGATTTATCGCATATTAGCCATTAAGGCTTGACACTGAGAATATCTGATAGTCTCCATGTAAAAAGGTTTTGAATGTAAAACAATCGATACAGAATGTAAAGACATTGCTTTGTATTTTGGAAATAAATATGTGATAAAAGAAAAAATGCTACATGGGTAATTTCAATAGAAGAATATCTAATTCTTTTACAGCTGGAAACGAATTTGGAAAAAGTAGACAGAGAGATTGAAGCACTGCGTGCAGCAGTGGCGGATAAGATAAATCCGACCAAGCTGGTAGAAACCAGACTCGAGACTCGCAAGTTACGCCCCGTGCTAGAGAGAGTACAGGTACACCATATAATATTCTCACACAAAATCTAGATAACATTTTTATTAAAGCATTTAAAACAGTTTTAATTAAGCGGGAATCACAATCTAGTTCGTTCCGTTGAAACACATTGCCACGTCACGCGAAACGTGGCTAATGTAATCAGGTACATCTACACAGATAAATAAAATTGGAGTAAGTTTATAATATTTATATAACCGCATTTTACTAAATACATATGTATGTACATATACAAGGTACATATATAAAAATATACTTTGTTTGTTCCGGCTAATCTCTGAAACGGCTGGACCAATTTTGTCAGGTTTTTCATTGGCTAGCTTACCTTCGTAATAAGGGGTAACTTGGGCTATTTTCCACGCGGACGAAGTTCAGCCCACACAGCGCACCTTATATGTATATGTCGCGACCACATCTAGACTTGATCATTTCAGGATCAGGCTGGTCATTTCATGAAATGGTACTATTTCATGAAACAGTCACCTAAAATTGTTCTATCGTTGAAGCGTCAACGTTTAATGATAAGGTACCTAATCCTCGTTTGGTAATATCATTATGTAGCGTGTCCAAAAAAGAAATCTACTTAATTATTTACTTGTATAGTTTGTTTCTTCGTCAGTGTTATGATTTTTTGGTCAGGAAAAAAATAACCTCGAACGCCACGCTTCGCGATCGTCTTAAAATTCTAACCTATCACGTGACCTACCGTAACGAATCATATAGGAAATTTAGCTCAGTTCATATTTCAAAAACTATTATTTCCACTAATATATTTTTATCATCCTCCGGGGCTAAATCAAAATCTTGCGACATATCCATAAAACTATAGAATAGCCGTTACCGCCGCACCTTCGCAGTACCTACTATACAATTTTTTTTGTTGCTTGGTCAACCTAATTTCTTTAATTTGTGGTAGGTATAACCTAAAAATAAAATACATTATGGCTCACAAAAACAGTGCGATATCAGCCTCTTACTAAGACTTATGTAACTATTTTATATGATCATTAATGCTTGGTCACATCATGAAGCAATCAGCCACCAATATCGTTAAACGCAAATTGTTCACCGATTGAATTAATCAATTCTACGATCTGGCCACGATATATAGGTATACAAAATTAAATACTGCCTAAAGAAATTTTGTGGTAATCTTAATTGCTACTGGGTGACTTCTGTACTGTGTCATTTAGGTAGAATTATGAATTGATAAGAATAATTATAATACTTACAAAAAAATATTTGAACAAAAAAATAACAGGATAAACCAATGAGAGGGCTGATAGAAGAATACGAGAGGGTCCACATGAGCGCCGCTCAACTGGAGAAAAAGTTGGAAGACGCTCTGTAAGTGAACAATTTGAATTTTACTTTTTATTATTACATAAAACTGTTTAAATAACGTTAATTTAGGTATTTGAGAAGCAGAATTGGCGAAATGATACACCATACTTACTTTAGTTTGAAAAAATATAAGCTTTATTAATTTTTTAGAGTTTGTATTGTATTTGAATTCTACGCAGATTAATCATTCGTCCTTTTCTCCTACAATCCTTTTACTTGTTCAGCTTCCACGCATCATAACCTGCCTTTAAAATAGGGGCGTTACTTTAAACCAAAAAAAAATAACAATTTCTTGACTTTCTAAATGTTTTTGTTGCCAGAACTACTTACCACGGCATGTACAACCATCATCAACGAGTTATGAAAGACTTACAGTACAAGAACCAAGCGTTAGAAACGGACAGGCGGTTGGCAGAGATTCGGAAACCGATTCATGCTCCAGACGAAACAGAGTTCCAGAGAAACGTGGGCTATTGCCATATGAACGAGGAACTAGCGCAATAAGAATTTGGACCTTTAGCAAACAGGTATAAAGTATAATATGTTTTAAAAAACTTTTAAAATATGTCAATTCATGCCACCACGATTGCTGTGTTCAATACCTTCTTTTGAGATGACGATCTTAATATGTTGTTCTATGTACCAGTTTGTCATGTCTGTAAGTACAGTCAATAGCATGTCGGAGTAGTAAAAGTACAAAGTGAAAAATTTCTTCATTCAATTTTAAACGGTGCAGTTCAAATATCAAACGCAGAAAGTTGACTTATTGTGGTCTATTATTGCTGTGTTCAACGGGCCATTTCTTATAAGCCTTGCATTTTGCCATTGTACTATCTACCAGAAGTCCATTATTATTATATATCTGTCACTATTGATGTGTGAGGAAGACGTTTCACCGATAATATTGGACTTAAGGTAGATAATACAACTGTAAAATGTAAGTACTTGAGATTCTATTGAGATGCGATTATTACGTAACACATATGTTACCAATGTTGTGTTTTTTGGACAAAATATTGTCATAGGTAAGTAAAAAATATGCTATGGTCAACAATAAAAATATATTAGAAGTGACGTAAGATAGGTTTTAATGAAAACTATAAAATATCATTTAAATAATATTTTAATTAACATAACGAAATTGACACGTAGGTAATACAACAAGCACTTAAAATGTAAAAAAGCTAATAATAACACTCATTTAAAACAATGTGTAATTGAATCATACTTTATACAAATCTTATCAGAAATAAACTAAGATCTTTAAATTAAGGTAATCAATCAAAAGATATTCAGATTAATACGTTTGTAAAATACCAAATCTAAAATGTTAAAACTTCTTCTTTATGAAGGTAGAATCATGACTCCTTAATATTACTAAGAAAATAAATTATTATTATTCAAATCACTTCCTACATATTATTATATATAAAAAACATTAACTTTTTTAGTATTTCAATTACACATTGTACTTAAAATAAGTTTTTTTACAATAGGGTATTTGACACTTTTCAGAAAACTATTTTAAATGGTTGTTTGATATATTATAAACACACTGTCCATATATTTCATGGGAATCTGTTCTATTTTCGATAAAAGTAATTGTTAAAGTTTAAATAGCGAAAATCACGCAAAAACGCTGCTCTATGAAATGGCGCAGATCATGTGGTATTTGTGACGTCACACGCCGGTAAATATATCAAAGCGATATAACCTATTTCATAACTATTTATTTCCGAAGTAAACAAATAGTATTACAGAAGAGAAATTAAGTTAAATTTTATGTTTTGTATTTGTATCTACTCTGGTTACATTTTTGCGTATCTTTAATAACACAGTTTTGACATAACAGTTTCCTGTTCACGTGTGAAGTTACATGCCGATAAACAGAAGATGTTATTGGTTGCAACAACAACCAAGTTTCCGTCGTTCATTAAATTCCTAAAAATGTTGCATTTTCTTTTCCTTATTTTACTAAAGCTAAACATATTTTGTCTGCAGTCTCTAAGACATAAATTTTATTAGATTATTATGTAACAGGATGACCAAAACATTAAACTTATTTTTAAAGTGACAAATACCCTATTAAGATCAATTTTAGAAATGTTTTAAAAGAAATATAGTGCCTCATCAATTAGCAAAAAAAAAAAACACAAATTTTTATTGGTTTTGGCATTTACTAGTTAAACATAGCCTTATTCTCGTATAACTATTATATTAGAGTAGAAGACATGGCTCCCTCGGAGTGAAAATGTAACGTGGTTAAAAAGAGAGGAAAAACCGTGGAATCCCATCAGTATCTCATACGACAGTATGTTTTTGGAATAATAGCATAACTTCAATACCTAAAGTAATTGATTATTTTTTTCTATAAAATATAATAATGTAACATAAACACAAATATGTAATACCGCGATTTTCTCTCCCTTACTAGTCGAGTAACGTCACGAGGTCTGGCTTTCGTACTCTAGTATAAAACCTTTACGTGACGTCTATGGTCACGCGAAGATTTATTTTATATCTGTTATATTCCAAAGAGAAAACACTTCTCTGTCATATTATTTTGTCATTTAATTCTTTGTTGTTTTTTATTTATTTAGACACATTGATTATAATATAATTTGTATCTACTACTACCATTCTATTTATTTGATTAGTGGTGATAAAAGCCTATAAAGGGTCAATTATTACAAGTAACTTCCGATAATACTGTCTCTATTACATTATTACCGGTTTATATTTAAGCTTATACAGTTAAAACCATTAAAATACATTTTCATCACGTAAGTATAGATATATTTAACATGTTTATTTTGTTTACCTATATTTGTGAGGTTAGCTAAGAATTATCGCTAAAACTCTGCAGCTTTGAAAAGAATTAAATTTATTGTATATATTTCATATCATTAATATTTGTGAATTGTCATATTTAACGTCTAGCAAACCATGATATAATAACGAAGTGACGTAAAAATATTAGTAATACGTTTTTTTTTAATTTGTTTTAAGCATGTTTAATATAGACGTTAACGTAAAGAGTATATTGTTATATAATAAAAAATGAGGTATCCGAAATACGATAGATTAACCCTAACTTAACGTATTCGTAAATGTTTAGTCAACAAAATGCATATAATTACATATATATTAATGTAAAATTGTAACATGTTAGCCTCCGTTCCGTAGTATAACTAGATGAAGAATCGGCGGATGTACTCTTTTAGCCTATTCACGACACATCATGAACTTTACCGTACTCTATCAAAGGCAGGGGTCGGCAACCTTATGTATGAGGCGCAAAAGCCATTTCAGTTTTGGAAGTCACTGTCGATGTCCAATTTTCGATGTAATACTAAATATATAATTAAAATTTTATTTATTATAAAAGACTACATTCTCTGTCTTAGTACAGTCAACAATACGTCAAAATATACAAAACTGTTAAATTTCTATACACCAATTTAAACGTTAAAATTTTGAGTTTAAAATCAACTAGAGAAATTTGACATATTTTGGTAGTCTGATGTGCTGTGTGTACATCGCAATATAGTATGGATATTCAACTATGGATCGATTGCACGATTTGAATGGTTTCGACAATAATATAATTATTTTTACCCGCAAAACTTTGACAGAATCGCATGTTGTCGACCCCTGTTCTAAGGCATTAAAATTTATAAGAGAGCAGGATAGAAAATGAGACCGTCCATAATCGAATGTCGATTTTAAGAGTACAAAGTTTGGGCTCACTTTTGATTGAATTTCATATTTTAACAATCTCTCGTCATGTAGAGAGCATTATATTTTGTGACAAGCATTTTATTTTATTATTCTAAGACATTTAACTGGGGCTATTTTAATTTATTGCTACTAGCACCTTTTAACAATTATATGAACACGTTTCATTATCATAGGTACCTATAATAACTTATAACAGACATAATTTCAAACATGGGATTTTCAATGGACTGCAAACCATTGCTTTTTGTCCCGCCCACACATATCTTGCTTTATTTTAACTTACTCGATATTACAGAATATGTAATCATAACTACCAAGTATCAAGATAAAAGTATAGCATAATAACAGACCAAGCTGAAAAATGTTTAATTAAGATTTTTAAATATCAATTGAACACCAATCTTATCACACTTTAAATAGAGCTGTTTATATTATTATCACCCTTCGTTTTTTTTAAATGTTAAAAGTGTTTATTAAATTTTTTTCAGTAGAACAAGGTAGATATTAGAATGAAATTTTACGAGTGCATTTTTCAGCTTGATACGAATTTAACCTATAAGAAAATACGAATGTAATTAAGTAACATTGTATGGATGACGCCTATTTGCCCTTTAGATTTCCAAAAACAAATATGAGCAAGACAAAATTTTGTGAATAAAAATCGTTTGTGAAGTGATTTTTTAAGATTGATTTTTATTTTACTTGTAGTTTATAATATTTATTGTGACATGTAATCTAATAAGTAGATTAATTATGTATAATATATTATGGATCAAATACTGACTTACTACATAAAACTAAAATAAATTGAAAAGCGTAGTATGGAATGCTTGTTACTATTGATAAAATAAAATTAATGTTCAGAAACTATATGCATATTAATTCTCATGTTTATACATTTCTCCGTCGAAATAAACGTAGGAAGTTTTATATATTCGAGTCTGGATGGATGTGAAAAATAAGTTTTCTATACCCCTGCTTAATAGACCTACATCAATATTAAAGGTAACAGAAAATATTTTTATTTGAAAGAGTATGCTTCCAACATTTATATTGAAATAATTGATAAATTTAAGTCATCAAGTAAATGTAAGTAAAGTAAATGAGTAAGTAATTTCAAGTATATTTCTAAACTCATAAATATCCACTTAATGCATTTCGAAAATTTTATCAACTGGACATATATAGCGTTTAGATATTTTTTCAGAAATAGTCTTGAATGGAATGGAAAAATATTTAAAACAGTTGTATTAGTCGCTATAATTTAATAAAGAAAACGTACATTATGTATGATCTCACTTCTCACTACTAATGATAGGTATATTTAATGAGGAAGTGAGAAATTATCGTCATGAACTTAATATAAAAACTATTTGTAGTAACATTTAAAAATAAAATAATGTCCTTTGTTCTTCGTGTAACAATTTTTTTCATAATAAGTATAATGTAAAAAATACTATAACCGTGTACTTCTTAATATGTAACATGCGTAAGCAACGAATGGAAAGAAACTTCCAAAGATAGAACTTAAAATAGTAGTACACAAAACAGAACTTTAGGTTATACAAAAAGCCCCCGCCAGAGTGGTACGCACAGTCAACATTTCTTTGTTCAAATACGATTTATAAGCGCACAAATTATGACAAAGCATCGAATACCCATGACACACGGTGTGAACACTTATTTCATTAAACAAATGCGTATCTCTTCTCTGTTATATATCTATAATACAGCTAGAACGATGTATTGCTTATGAAAAAAATAAAACAATTCTCATAGAACAATTCTCATATAACAACAACATTTTAGTGGATTGTCATGGTTTCATTCGTTTTGACATAACATGGCGACAGTGAGTTACGATGGGAGGGGGGGGGGGGGGTATGCCGGGCATCCTGTAGAGGGTGAGGAGGAGGAAAAAAAGTAAGAATCGTCTGAAAGCACGTCTATTCACTACAAAGGTTGAATTCCTCCAAACGCTTTTAAGCCTTAATATGTTGACAGTTAAGTTCAAAATAATTGACAAATACATAATTTAATCAATAATTTTGAATCAACTAATATGATGTCGTGTGTACCTAACTATAGAGTTAATTTCAGTTTTTAAAATGTCTTCATTTGGCTATTATCAATTTAAATTTGACTTTTTAATTTGGACATAAGTATCCAGCAAGTTTTTAGGGTACAGTGACATCTGGTAACATAAAGGAATAAAACCATGAAGTTCCACCTTTAGGAATAAAATACTTTGGTGTTAAAAGTAACTAGACCCGCAAGTATCTAGTCACAAAATATTTTTAAAAATAAAATTGAAATCTAATCGATACAATCAGAGAGTATAAAACGCTAGTACTACAATTTGGCGACAGAAAAGACGTATTGCCGTAATTGATTTGGATATTATAAATAAACAAATTGGTTGACTGATTTTTAAAAAATTCAACAAGGCGAAGTATATAACATACATTTGCTTGATAGTTTTTAACATTTTATTTTTTTAACAACATCCTTTCGTAATAAATACAAATGAACATTCAATAACAGGTATCTAATAAAAGCAGTTAAACCGCAAAGAAAAAGTCATTGACAAATAGTTTAGGTCAATATTGTCTATTTCTGATCACCACTTATGTGCATACTCAATATATATTGTAAGCAGGTACTATATAATATGAAAGCTATACCTTGTTTCTTATGTCATAGCAATAAGGTTTATTATAATCAAATTACAGACCCGTTGGAAGAAGTTCAGGCTTTGGACCGACTTGCTCGTAAGCTTCATCTAGTAAATCACATATCAACTTTATATTATCATCGTTGAGTTTCCTGCTTGATGCTAATCTTATAGAAGGTTCTGGACAATTAACTTCTACATCTCTTAAATAAGTGGCCACAGCGAACGCCACACCTTTTTCTAAGCAGTAGTTGGCAATGTTCCTGAGGTAAGTGTGCTTCAGATGATCAGTCTGATCATCCTTACTCAAATATATATGTTTGACAGGAGACAGTTCGTCACCGCGGAATCTGTAGTGTTTCAAATTTGACAGCGCTCTGGAATTAGAATGGATGAAGAAATAATCTTTATTATACACTATTACAGCAATGGACAACTTAATTCATATTATGCGGTACAATATGCGACTTTGAGTTTTTGTTTTAATAAAAGCGACAAGCTTTTATATAAATGTAGGTAGATATTCACACGGCCATCTTGGGCTGAACGCCACATTAGATTTAAAATTATGTACCTAAGCTAACCCTGTATTGTCATCTAAACTAAGCCTGTATGTATTTAATTTCAGCTTCATCGGGTGTCGCTTTAAATATTCAGTTGCAAGATTTGACGAACTAACATACATTGCAAGTTACTAATATAAATCAGATGAATATTACATTTATGCCCTAATCATGACCAAGGAATTGCTCTCGTAACCCCAATTAAAGCGTATTTAGATTTTCAGATTAGCTGTCCTTAAATTAAACGCCATTATTATGATTAAGATTGACATTAACAGAACCAAGTATCAAACATCGATATCTCGAGAACCCCCAGTTGCGTTAAAATAATAAAAAAACTGCGGATACAGCCGAGTTGGTGATTATTTCAGCTCTATAAAACATTCAAACAATGGTAACAATGTAAAATAAGTCACAAAAACGCTTATAGACTTACTTATAGACTTATAATCTACAGTCCACAAATATCCTTATCAACCAATATCTTGGAACAATAATGCGTTCACACTCAAGTTTACGCATGACTCATTGTATAGAGAGGTTTGTCGTTATATTTTCTTATTATTTTATGGATGATGTCATGTTGTTAAGTTTTTGAAAAATAAAATATAAGCAGATAAATTCGTATGTTATACGATACCGAGGAATACGGGTATAGACAATAAACGACAGTAAATGCATTTTTTTTTCTGGTAATGTTTAATATACTATTACCGATAATGACACTTTATGCTTATTATATTGATAATATTGCTTAATTTATACTTTTTGTCATGTGACCGCTTACAGCGCGTGACGTCACGACCCTCTTACTCATATCACATTTCAGAACTTAGAGAATTAAACCTTATGCATATATAGAACGATATTAGTTTTAGAGGAGCGTGACGCCAAAGCGATGCCATGACAGACGTTGGCGTTTTCGCGGGAAAAGTCCGAAAATTAAATTTATTTTTAGATTATATTAATGTTTTTTTTTTTTCAATTATATTTCATGTATTCATCTATAAAATAAAAATATTTAAAAAATGTCTACAACTCTATTGTATATTATCTCCTATTTATTCAGCCGAATAACAACGGTTCATCACATTATCACCAGCTTATAAATGTCCCCACTGCTGAGGCTCAGGTTTTCCCTATGGATGGAATCTCGAGATAATATTTTTTTGGTCACCCATCCTATGACAGGCCATTGCGAAAGTTACTTAACAACCGGATCGCAGACGGACGACGAAATACGTTAAATATTGTTGAAAACTATGCGTTTTCAATAAAGTATTTAAAAAAAGACTACAAAAGTAAATGTCACAGGATGACAAAAATATTTTAATATCAAATTCCCATGCTAATAATCCGGTACATGCTACTAAGGGGTTATTCGTGTTATGCGTTTTTCGGCAAATTACATACACCTATTTAGACGCCCTCTCATTTGAACGGATCTTTGCGCTTCAAACATGCATATGTGAATCGAGTAACTAAGTCGAGTACTAGGTTTACTTAATATTTGGTTAATCTCTATTTTCTTATCGATATGACTTGTGAATGCTTACCGGTTCACTTTCCTAGAGCATTCGTTGAGCTCAGTAATTATAGACGGTTTTTCTTCTATAATATCGAGAGCAGAGATGGCGGCTTGCGTCAGCATCGGTGGTAATGAAGCACTGAAGCAATAACCTGTATACCAAAGTATCATAGTAATATATAAATGGCCAAGAACGAGAAGGACTCGCGCTCAGAGGGTCCTGTACTATTATAGTTTTATTTTCATATTTTTCATTATAAATAAGATATATATATCGTGAAAAATAAATATTTTTCACGATACATACATCTTATTAAAGAACGTGGGTTCGAATCTCCATCTCAGAGTACCAGGGACAAAGTGATTTTTAAGCATTTTTCATTAAGAATATTTCCCTTAGTGAGTGTCGAAATATATATTTTTTGCTGCGTAAATAGACGAAACCTTGACTTAATGTGCACAGAGGAGCTCAAAATAATCAATTTTGGCCACCCATCCTATAACCGGCCCTTGCGAAAGTTGCTTAACTTCCGCTTCGCAGACCACTTCCGCTTCACAGAAACCTTCCGCTTCTGCACCAACGAGCTCTTACTACATAACTACGACCATAACGAGAACTATAGTTTTTTTTTTAATACTTATAATTATCTAATAACTTTAGGTCAATGCTTCTCTAGTTTATTTTTCCTTATACACTGGTTATTATTGTGTAATAATGATATTTAGACTTAACTCACCTAAACCAGATAATCTTTGGTGTTCAACAATAAAGTGAGTGCCAGCGCAAAATCCACCGCTAGTGGCAAAGGAATGTTCCAGAGAGCCAACAATAAGGTCAATTTCCTCTCTTGGAACATTCAAGTGCTCCGTCAACCCACGTCCGTTTTTACCCAACGCCTGTAACAATTAGAATAAGAAATCCAGTTTATTGACAATGATGCCATGCTAACTAAAACAAACAAGAAATTATGAATTTTGTACCATTTCTACGAAACTTACGCAAGGGGGAGGGGGGGAGGGGGTTATATGAAGGAGTGCAGATTTTCTTTATTATCCACATACGAAAGTAAACTCAAAAGATAAAATCTATAATATTGAGTGTGTATAATAAAAGTTATAATTATTAGTTTTGTTAAGTAAATAAATCCAAAGATTTCTTAAATAAAATTATTTCTGGAAAGGCTCTTTACAGTGCAATTATGAAGTATTTAATATGTGTTGTAGCGTAAAATTTACGTCACATGATTTTTTTTACACAGCTCGGCTTAATGGCTGAATGAACAATTTAGAGATAGGTAATTAAAAAAAACTTTGTCTTTTCTGCACGCGTACCAAGACAAACTCGAGAAACGCTTTGCCTACACTCATTTGTCAGTTTCTCGGGTCGAGAGTGAGATATCCTATGGGCGCACCCCAGCAAAGCGTACTCGAGTTGTACAAAGACATGAGTGTAGACAAAACGTACTCGAGTTCGTCATGCTACGCGTGCTGGTTACTTTACGACTATTTTTTCTAGTAAAAAGTTGTTAAAAAAGAAAATGTGTTAAATCCGTGTGTATCTACAGTATTTTAATCAAAATTTCAACTATTTGATAATGGTGGGAACGTAAGCCTACGTAGGTGGTCACCTTGCCAGTATTTGAAAAGATCGCCGCGTTTTTTTTTTTTTGATTACTTAGATTTTGATGTCACGAATCACAACCTTTTCGCATGAACCACGCCACTCTCATTTTACATACCACACGCCAGTTTAGCATTTATGGTATAATGTAATCACGATGCACTAAGGAGTTAGGTGATGTAATCCTTATTAATTATAGTAAAAAAAGAGACTTTTTTAGGACTTAAACTTAACAGAATGTTTCTAAAATAAATGGCGAACTAAAGCAAACTTGTTGGTCGTTATTTACAAGTCCCCATGCAATTTTTTTTTTGTTAGTGACCTACCTCTTGTCAATTTTTTTAGCATAACGCTTAGATTGACAATCACTTTTAAACTTATATTTTTTAAATATTACAGTATTTAATATTCTTACATTAGCCATCGTCCGTATACCCACTCTTCCTAAAATAAAAACTCTTATTTTTTAGAATTATAAATTAGTAGCTGTTTTTCCTCAACTTCGCCCTCGTAAATTAAAGCCTATGTCACCAAAATCGGTGTAGTAGTTTCTCAGCCTATTCAATGCAAACATACAATCAAATCCTAACTCTTAATAATATTATTATAGATTATTAGACATTCTTATACAGTTATAACTTCTAACTTACCCCAATGCTCAAACTTTCATCTAAAATGATACGTAGCTTATATTGCCGTGCTAACTCCACCAGCCTTTTCAACGGGCACATCTCACCAGTGTTAAAATAAATAGCTTCCGCAATAAGGAAGGCTCTCCGTCGTGGATTCAGTTCCCTCTTTTTAGCAGCCTCTGATAGCAGCTTCTCGAGATGTTCCATGTTGTTGTGTTTAAAGTAGCGGATAGTACTACGGCTTCCATCGAGACCTTTTTGGATAGCGAACCACACACATTCATCTCTGGAAAATAAATATTATTATTTATAAAATAAAATATAGTCAGTTGAACATTTTCTTGATCAGAGGTTATAGTATTTGAATATATTTTGGTTGTGGAGTGCGAAATTTGGTTGATAAAGAATCCTGCAAGATTATATTCCAATAAAATAACATTAATTTTAAAAAGAAATTGCATAGGAAAATCTTCACAGAGTACAGAGGGTGCAAAAAAGCGACGGTCAGGTTTTCATAAACGATTAAAGTTATAGTAAAATATGTATGCAATATATGGAATATTACATTATATACCGCATGACTATTTTGTTAAAAAATAAAAATGACAATCTTAGCGGTGGAGTAGCTGGCAGGCGAGGCAACAGCGGCCACGACACGTATTCCGTATTTTTGGGAACCATAACGTTAAAGGCATGTCGATAACTGCTCGATATTAAATGTTACCATTGGTTATCATTAAAAATATATTTTATTTAATTCACAATTTAGAGCACTACAAACTAATTCACGGACAAGGCATGCAACGGCAAGGTTACAGTAAATGCGTACGCCTAAAATCACTTACTTTCAATCAGTCGGATAGAATAACTTTCAAAAATCGATTTTGTACAAACAAATACGCTTAAACAATTCGTAATTAAAAATTGAAGCACAACATCACATTTTAGATATTCAATCCCAACTAAAACCAAACATACATGAAAATGGGTGTTGCGCCACCGCGCTCATATAAAAATATTAAGTAAAATTGATGAAAAATACAAAAGTTGCAAGCTCTGGACTTTTAAATAACAAAATAACAATTTAAATAGGATGAAATCTAGGACTACATATGTTCTGAAATATCTTAAACTAGTTGACATAGTTACTGTAGGTACATGACAAATATTGTTTATTAGCCTAGGAGTACTTTTGTGTAATAATTTGTGCACTGAGTACAATTTTTTCCTGTAATAGTAACAATACCAATCAATGTTTACATATGGCAATATTGATATTATATTTGTAACGAATAGTATATTCGACCACATGCCGAATACCTAATATTCGGCGCTATTCCTGGCCTAATAGTCGAATATTAGGCATAAGTATTCGGCCGGTATGTGGCGCCAAAACTTGTATCAACTTGATTATTTCGCGCTCATTTGTTATAATGTACTCACCAAAAAGTTTTGACAAATTTAGTTCGTGCATATCGTTCGTGCGTAATAATCGATTATGGACTCTAAAAAGAATTCGCCCAAGGACATACTTTGAGTCTACTTTACTGATGAAAGTGACCCGAAAAGTGTCATGATCGATAGTCTAAAGATGCGTTGTGAAGAAAACAGCGACTATAGCGAGAATTCGTCCTCTGCTTTGGCTAAGAAGATGAAAACTGAAGAGCAAAGTCTAAGCCAGACTATTCACTCAACTTTTATGGATTGCTTCGAAGAAGTGATATCAGAAAAGACACAGCTCATAAGTGCAGTTGCGACAGAAATAAATCTTTTTTTAAGTATTAATAACTAAATTAAATTCCGTTTTTGATCAAGATTGCAGAAAAATATTTATCGGCACCAGGAAGTTGTGTTTATTCAGAGTTTTTTCTCTGAAGCTGGGCTGGGAGTCTATGAGAAAAAAGAAGTAAACTATTTCTTGTAAATATTTTTATGCCTTCCTTCCACATCTTAACTTTAATTACGACAACAATTGAAATGCATAAAAAATCATAAAATTTTGTAATGCAGAAGATGATTGTGTACTATCTGTTCTTGATTCTCATGATTATAAGAAATATTAAAATAATATTATTATAAAATAAATCAATAATATCTTTTATCTTAGTAATTATCTCATTACAACAAAATACTTATAATTATTAGGTAATTAAGATTTCGGTATCCAGCCGAATAGTATGGACATATTTGGTATTCGGCCGAATATAAATGCAATTATGTAAAATTACACTCTTTCTAAATAAAAATGTTTATTATTGAGTTAGGGCTACATTCTAACAACTGCAATTTGCAGTAATATGTTCTATTAGAATTATCAAGAAACAGTACATATAAAACAAGAATTTGTTTTATTATAAATTTCAAAACTGAATGTTAACATGGATAGGACCAAAAAAGTTTGACAACCACTAATCTATTGAGTAAACAGTTACACTGAAATTTACAGGTCACAGTTAACTAAGGAGGATAAGTAACTTACGCAAAAACTATGTCCCCTTTTTTGGCATAGGCAGGAATTGCACTGGCAATTGTTGAAAATCCATATGAATATACACAAGTCTCTTCGACCTCCATAAACTTAGCCAGGCGTTCTTCTAGTTCTAAATGAACATCTATGGTACCATAAAACCCTCTGGGTCCACAAGACCCTACACCATACTTTTCAAAAGATTTCAATGCACTTTCCACAATGGATTCTTCTTTATCCAAACACAGGAAACTTGTAGCACCAACGTTTAAAACATTTTCGTCAATTTTACCCATTAAGGGTGGTTCTTCTACCACCGTGTCGTGTTCAATCAATGGAACAGGATTCCATTCAAATGTTTTACCATAACATGCCGAATTATAAGATTTACGATTATTTTTCTTCTTCCAAAGAAAGTATGTTGAACCAAGAATTACTTGAAAAGCTATAACCAAGGTCCACCAGCTAGCCTAAAACACAAGACATTACAGGAAAATCCCGATTATAAGATTATGTATGGAAAAGTTTAAAATATCTCAAATTACTCACCATATCATAAATATCTACCAAAATCATTTCGATATAAGTTAATTAGTCTATTTTTATCAGACAAAAATCTATTTCACCAATTAACTTTTTCACGCTAGACTAAACCGAAACACCTCTCCTTGGTCGTGACCAAAGCCAATCACATGCCAATCACCAATTCAAAGTTAAAATTTCAAAATTTACAGCTGCTGTCAAATATGTACAATCTTTACAAAATAAGAGGTCGCTTTTGACACATGTCATCGATCCATAAACAGTGACGCTAATAAACAAAATCGATAATAGATTATTATTTGATTATCGATTATAAAATGAGATATCGATTTGTTTGTGTGACGTACGTGCATGATTTATTTTTTTTGTTTAATAGAAATCGCTTTCCTATTTTAAAATATGATTTACTCCAATAACAAAATTATTCAATACAAATATTTATCTATTGAAGCAAATGCTTGGAAATGTTATAGTAATTGCCTTTATTGATAAGTTTAGGCCCTAGGTAAATGCTGGGTCCTGAGTATCCCAAGAAAAGACACATTGATTCAGTCCAATAACGCTAGAACAAATATTCAAATACTGCATACAAGTTAAGCAATTTTATCTGAAACTTACATGATTTCCAATGCCGTAATTTAAACAAATAAAAATATACAAAACATTTCAAAAAATACTGTTGCGGAACATTAAGGTTTTTCATTTTCAACTCAAACGTGGATCTCAAATGATAGTATTGATTTTATATTTGATTCATAATAAGAATTTATTACCTCTTGATATAGTGCAAACAATAACTAAAGTTGATATTTTTTTTCATTTGTTAATAAATAAACACACCATTTTATGTGTTATCAATTTTTTTTCTTTTATAATGTACCCGATTTGAACTTAAAATGAATAATCTATTAGAAAATACATGATTAACTTGATACGATACTTATTTAAGAAATGAAGGATGGAGGGCGCGACTGTTTTTGGAACGTAACGTAGTAAATGAAAAGTTCATTTTTTTTACAATTTGCATAATAATAATACTAAAATAATGTTTTGTATTACTAAGCGACGCTTTTATGTTAAAAATATGCTATTTTTTTTATTAAATCCCTTCTTAACTTTAATGGCACTTATATATATCTTGTTGTTGAAGTGTTAAAAGGAAACTTATTTTGTGAATACTATAGTAGTAGTTAGCTCAAAATATCAATATCGAAGAAACAGTGATATCTATATCGAAAAACCAACATAAATTAAAACCTAATATCGTATGAAATCCTAAGAGTAAAGGCGCTTGTGCACTACACTGAATTTTCAGGTCCAGCGGTCCGATTTTTTCCGGTCCGAAATGACATGAAAAACCTGGCTTGTGCACTTGTCCGTTTTATTCCTGATGGGAGCGGCGCAATGTAGGGCAGCTCTCTTTGAAGCTACACGTCACTTACGCTAGGTACGATGAGATTTTTGGAACGTCGGTAATTGCTTGCTTTGTTACTCTACTTGCGAAGACGTAGAAAGGCACCTATATAAAAATTGAGGCAAGACGAAAGCATTTTTTTTACTACTATCGAATACTAGATAAAAAAACTTATACCCTACTAATTTAGGAACAGCATTATTCACATAAAATAGCTAAATATATTTGTGACATTAGAATAAAATTACTGATAATGGTCTAGTACTTGCTGTTAAAATTTTTATACGCGTGTTTTTTTTTCTGAAGATTGTAAAAACAACTTTAAGCGATTACAGAGATAGACCAATCGTTAGCGCCATTTCGTTAACAAATCGAAATTAGTGCCGTGTAAGCGGAGAATTAATATGCTAAATGAACTTTACGAGATCAGTTGACTATATTATATATAGGCATAATTTTATACGCGTGGTATAGTTTATAGTTTCTTTCGCCAAGGCATATGCAGTGATATTTACCAACTATATTAAATCATATAAAATATCGCATTATATAATTTACAATAAATATTGATTTTTCATAAATCGATTATTTTTTCCCAAGCCTACTCCGCAGGCTCATGAATTTTCCGAATCGCGGACTAGAGATGGACGTTTAAACGAAAAGCACTTAATTAAGCATGCTTTTTTAAATAAGTGCAAAAGCACTTTTTCACTTAGAAGAAAAGTATGCTAATGCTTATTGTACGTCCCGCCATCTATCAAGATATAACTACTAGCTTCAATAAATTTTTCCGTTTCGGCGTAATTCTATTAGAGGGCAGCACTTTACATAAAATAAATAAATGCATGCACTGTATTATACTATTACGCGTGATATCCATCTAGAATTTTTACAACAACTTTTTTGGTTGGTTAATCCAAACACTTTTTTAAACTGAACTTATACTTAAAAAAGCAGTACGCTTTTCGTTGTTGAAGTAAGTTCACGTTGTGTTAATTGCGTAAGTTGAATTATACAATTAAAACGTAAATAAATTGCTACTTAAGTAATGAATGACTTTTGTTTATCAATGTAAATAAGTTTTGTTATGAGGTGATGGTGTGTATATAAAACATTTTAAATATTATTGAACTGCATTAGTTTTAAGATTGTGTAAATAAAATGTCGAGAAACGGTAATAGTATTGTGTGGGAGTATTTCAATAGAAATGTGGAGGACAGAATCGCAGAGTGTAATATATGTAAAAAAAATCTTTCTTTCAAAAGTTCTATTACTAATTTAAAACAACATTTAAAATTAAAACATGTAGGTGTATATAATGAATTTCTATCGCGTAGTTTAGCGCGACCTGGTAATAGTGTCCGGGTGGACCATTCAGCTCCAACAGGATCTGTAACCTCGCCATCAGTAACTCAGCAACAGCAGAGTAACGAAAATAATACCGTTAGAAATGTCGGTGGTGGTGATAGTGGTGGTGGGGCTCCTCCAAATCGTCAACTTCAAAGAACCATGGCTTCTTATTTATCTCGCCAGTTAAGACCTGAAGAAAAAAAGAACATAGACAAATCCTTATTAAAACTAATGACTTTAGATTTTCAACCATTTAGTATTGTCGAGGATGAAGGGTTCAAGGAGTTTGTAGGAACCATTAACCCTAGTTATGAGTTACCAAGTAGGAAAACGTTGTCGAATACATTGTTATCGGCCGAGTACAGCGAACAACTCCAACATGTTCAAGCTTTAGTCTAACAACAGTGCGTCAGTATTTGTGTCACTGTTGACTGCTGAACTTCTAAAAATTTAGAGTCATATATGGCAGTGACAGGCCACTTTATTAGCAAAGAAACACTGCAATTCCACAGTATTTTAATACAATGTTCAGCCATTGAAGGTCATCATACCGGTGAAAGGTTAGCAGATGAGCTGAGAGTGATTTTCACCGAATGGGCTATAACTGAGAAAGTGAATTTCTTAGTAACGGATAATGCAGCAAATATGAAAGCTGCTGCAAGAAATTTGGATATACCCCATTTTGGTTGTTTTGCCCATAAGCTCAACTTAATTGTTTGTGGCGAGCTTTCCGCTCCAATTTTATACTTGGGCAACCGCCCTACAATTTGACGAAGAAACGCTCCGCTTATGCGCTTTGGACCAGCGGCGATGACTGACGTCACGCATTACGTAGCTCGCCGGGCGTATGCGCATCCTTGTCGCACGCGCTCGCTTCGTGATGATGCGTGCCTGCTCGCGTCGTCGCGCCGTCGGCCGAACAAGATGACTCTGCATATAGCTTTGCTTGCGTACGACCGTCACATTTCTATTAATTTATAATCTGCTTACTTTTGCTATTTTATACAATTCTTTTCTTGTAATTTAATTCTAATCTGTGTGTAAATAATATATCCTTCATTCTTAGTGCTTGTGCTTCTTTTCCTTCTCGTGAACTGTGTTGTTTTGTGCTGTTAAATTGAACATTCTTATCGGGTTTTTTCAATTTCTTTAACAATCGCCAAAGTACAGAAAACTGTGTCGCATTTCAAGCGTAGTACCATTGCGAAAGAAAAGCTTCAAAAATATCAGAGGACGACACAAAATGTTCCTCAACCCAAAAGCCTGCTATTGGCAGTACCTACGCGATGGAACTCCACATACCACATGTTGGAAAGATTTGTGGCATTACAAGAAGCGTTGAGGGCCACTATACCAAATTTGAATGTAGACTTACCTGTAATTCCCTTAGAGGAGTGGAATTGTTTAAATCAAATTTGTGAAGTCCTTAAACCCTTCGAAGATGCGACTAATATAATTAGCAGTGAGACGTACCTCTTAGCAAGCAAAGCTCTCGTTTTGTTAGTGGACTGCATACGGTATGCGACCAACTACTGCAGCGCAATTTTTATGAGTCGGTAAATGCCCTTATATTGAATTTGAAACAGGGAATAGAATCAAAATTTGCAGACATTGAAAAAAATCAAGAAATTGGACTTTGCACTCTTTTAGATCCCCGTTTCAAGCACCATGCATTTGAAGATCAAGCCTTAATGTTAAAGGCAAAGGTTGACCTACTAAATAAAATAATCTCACTTCAAAGTGAAAAACCAGACGCAACTGCACCTGCTGCTTCACATTGTGATTCTTTGCCCGGATCATCATTGTGGGGAAAATTTGACCAAAAAATTTTATCTTCCCTTAAACCACAAACAGCCAGAGAAAAATCAATCGAAGAATTAAACATGTACTTCAAAGAAAATATACTTCCTCGAACAGAGTGCCCTATCAAATGGTGGAAAGAGCACCGGACAATTTATCCTACGCTTTATCAGTTATTTATTTCAAATTCGAATATAATGGTCACATCAGTACCATGCGAAAGAGCTTTCTCTAAATCAGGGTACATAATATCAGACAGAAGAACAAGACTTACCACAACAAAAGTAAAAAAACTAATGTTTCTTAATTCTTTAAAAAAAACTAAATAAATAAATGTGCTGTAAATAATGTAAATAAAAAATCATGTAAATAAAATTAATGAACTTTTAAGTACGCCTGGATCATGAATTACTAAAATAATTTTAAGTTAAACTTTATTGATTCCAGACAGTCCTAAGCCTGTGATTAAGTACGAAGGAAAATTCATTGATTGAAATAAAGTACAAAAAATTTGATGTTATCAATATTTTTTTTACTTACAACCTTTTCGTTTTATATGATTTTGTAGCTCGTTAGCTTTGAAAAAATATTTATTATTTTATATAAATACTAGCTTTCCGCCAGCGGCTTCGCCCGCGTGGTCTTGTATTATACATAAAAACCTTCCTTTTAAATCACCCTATCTATGGAAAAAAAACCACATCAAAATCCGTTGCGTAGTTTTAAAGATTTAAGCATATGTAGTGATAACACAACGTTGCACGCTTATTATAACGATTTCCAAACGTCAGTTGAAAAAAAAGCGTTTAAGCAATAAGCAGTTTTTAAAAGCTGCTTATTAAAAATCGTACAACGTAACAACACTTAAAAATTTTAAGCAGTTATTTCCACCTCTATCGCGGTCACAGCAGTACACAAGCGTAAACACGTTTTTCATTGCCGCCATCACGGACCTGAAAAAACCGGTTCGGAATACAGAAAAGTAAAATTTCGGACGGTAAAATTCCTGACAGTGCACAGGCTAGCATTACGTACATATGGCCGTACATATCGGACAGAAAAAAATCGGACCGCCGGACCTGAAAATACAGTGTAGTGCACAAGCGCCCTAAATATCAGTTGTCCATATTTTAACATCCAACGGCATCTTCACATGTTATGAATATATAACATTAGTAACAAGTGTGACATTATTTTGAAACCCCGCTTTTTTTCAAATACATTTTAGATTAAACGTATTTATACCATCAATCCGTTTTGAGTCCTATACGCAGGCCCAGTGTGGAATGTTGGGTGGACTCGTATTGGTTTCATTCAATAAGAATACCTGTGCTTTAGCACCACCTATATTCTTTTACTCTTTGGCACCACCAATCCGCATTCGGGATCTACACGCGGGCCCAGTTCGAAATGTTGAGTGGATTGGTTCCATCTGTAACGAAGACCGGTTATTTAGCATCACAAATTCGCATTGGATTCACCACACAGCCTTGCACTGATTACTGTTTGCATTACATACCTATACCATACATCAGAAAGATTATCTGTATTCTAGCACCTACTCTACCAATCTCACGTGGTACGGGTTGCTAGGTGGATTGGTGTCATCCATTATAACTGTGCTTTAAAACGAGGAAGTATTTTAAGAAAAAAAAGAAAGCACTTAAAAAGCACCACACTAGATGGCGACTCTAGTAAAGGTTCATTTTTGCAGGAACCGAATGGGCCAAACATAGTCATTTTCGCTCTATTTAACTAATATATTAATAAACTGAAAGAACAATGGCCATCTGCCTAACATGCTTGGACTAGTAAAATCGCATAAAACGTAACTTGATGAAACATATGTTATTTTGTTTGCCTATGCAACTAGAACAAAGAAAGACATTAAATATATTTTTAAAAGCTGGGAGTATCTAGTAATTGTGTAATATGTTTTGAGGTTATGTCGTATTATTTAAACTGTAGCATTTTGAGTTAGAGGTATTACAGTTGAAATATGTAAAGCACACGTCAGATAATGCCTAATCGTGGTCCTAGAAGTGCATACTTTCACATAATACTTCAAACTTGCTCCATATCTGATATATTATTTTTATTGACTGTAAGAAATAAAATCATTTATTGTGAACCAATGAACATTAAAAAAAAATAGAATTTTTAAGATTGCTCTCAATAACTCTACTTTTCTATCTTACACTATAACTTATGTAAAGTAGTAGTGAAAATACTAATTTCAAAAGGATATAGCAAAACAACATGTTCATTTTTCTTTTTTTTTATTACAACTCTAATGAATACCTCATCACGGAATGCTACAGGAGCAGCTACATTCTGTTCGTGTCTGGCCCATTCAAGATACCAAACTATGGTCATTATATGAGCACAGCATAGTGTACATCGACCAATAAGACAATAGGGATGATGACTGGGTAAAAAAAAATGCAATTCTATTTAGTCCGTCAGTCAGATAATAGAAAATTTTTTTTTTACTTCAATTTAACAAGAAATAGCTTAGATAACAGGCATTAAAATAAAGGAGTGGGGGCTCGCTACGTCACAGTTTAGTAGAAAACGTGAAGTCATGCAAAATTTCAACTCCATGTAATGCCGTAATTTTATGATTACGAAAAAATAAAAAAATACGTGTTTAATATTTTTTAACACTCTACCTGACGGACAAACAAACAAAAATTAGTCATCATCCCTATTATAGCAGTGTTCTCTTATGCCATCTTACCCGGATGTGTCATTATTTATTAAAATGTACACATAATATTGTTTCCTTCCAATGTGTCGACTTAATTCTACCCTTTATAATTAGGACTTTATTTATATTTAAGTCTAATTCTAATCAATCCAGAGAATCCGGTATTTCTCTACAGACCTCAATTCTATACTGCCCATGGAACCTAGTATGCTCCCCATAATACAGACTATAATACAAAATCACCGCCAAAGTTACAAAACGGTCTGCGTAGAAACACGTCTACACATAGATAGGTACTTGTCTAAAAAGGGGAGGTCGCAATCGATTGAATACTGTAATATCGATTCTTATGAATAATCATTAGTTTTTAATTTCATTATAAATAAACTATTTTCCTCTAAGTAACATCTATTTATTTTAGTAATCTTATCTAAGTTTTATAATTTTCATGGATTTATATGGTTAGTCAATAATTAAGATTTGTATCAAATTCGATTAATCTGATATAAAATCGATCTTGTTCTATGAAAAGAGAGGGACTTCTCTAGGAATGACATTATTATTATTAAGATGCGTTCAAAAATAACATAAATTAAACTGCGTACCAAAAAATAAAGACATATTTTAGAGAGGAATATCTTTCTTTTCCCAGCTTTTAAAAATAAATCGTTGGTATATAATAATTACATTCAACTTATACTACATTTTGGTGATAGTTCCATCTTGGTACAAGAACTTTTTTTTCGTAGTCCATTTTGACCATTGTTTTTTGCAAAGTTCGAAACTTAGATATCGATACAAATACGAAAAAGTACAAATATAATATGACTTGTTTATAGAGCTTTGAAAACTAATTTACTTTTAAACATGAGAGAAAACCTAAACATTTCCACATTGTCGTCAAGAAACCGGTACGATATATGAGTGACCTAGTACCGCGAGTGTAACGTTATATAACATGACGTCACACGTCCACGGGCACCGAGGTGAAATTTTTAGACAGAAGTTAAAACAATAATAACTTCAAAGTTTCTCGCTCTATTTTTATGAAACAAAAACAGGTGTATTTCTAAATGTTAAGACTTTAGTTAGACAGGAAGTTTAAAGCTATTTGACGGATCCATTGATATTCATCATTCTAAGACTTGGCTGTGTGAGGTTTCCTTTGTTTGAAACGAAAAAAGAAGCATTGCCAAGCCAACTGCCAGTGTTAATGTCACAAACTAAGTGTCAATGTAATTTTTGATGTTTACATTGCTCGACTTTCCTATCGTGTTTTTGCATTTATATTTTTGAATTAAAATTACATTATTAGTCTTAGTAATAAAACCGCAATGAATTTTGGTGGAACACTACGAGTAAATAAATTCGCGTGTTTTACATTGGTGTTTATATTATTTCTTATTATTTATTGGCGCGCTGGTGGTTCTAATTATCCATCTGATAAAAGTGATCTTATTAACTTAAAAACTTTACTAAAAGCTTCAATTCGTGCTGCAGAGATAGGTGGAAAGAAAGTAATAGACGGTAAAAATCACGAGTTAAATGTTAAAAGTAAAGGTAAAACACAGGAAGGTGCTAACGATCCCGTTACTGATGCAGACTACGCATCGCATTGTGCTATGTTCTACAGCTTAAAAAATACCTTCCCTAAACTGAGCATTGTGTCAGAAGAACATTCTAAAGGAGATTCGAGATGTGAACAACAAGAGGTTCTTGAAACAGAATCTCAATTGTTTGAACACAAAATTATTGATTATATGAATGATGAGTATGTTCTTGCTAAAGATGTAACAATTTGGATTGATCCTTTGGATGCAACTCAAGAATATACAGGTATTTATTAAGAATTCCTGAAAGCATGTATATCTCTGATAAGTATATTATGATATATATAAAAAGTAGTGTAAATGTTAATAGTAATTATGATTTTTATTTAGAATTATGTCAAATAAAATGTTCAATACTACTAATTATGTACTTATATTTTAAAAGTACTACTTGCTACATATAACATAACTTATTTTTGTATATAAATTATTAGTATGTGATTTACAATATTAAATTTAAAATGTAATATTTCAGAATCTTTATATCAATATGTGACAACAATGGTATGTGTTGCTATACATGGTGTTCCAATAATTGGGGTGATACACTATCCATTCCCACCAACAACTTATTGGGGTTGGCATACTAAGAAGACATCCAACAATATTGCAAATGTGCCTCATGTAAGTTTCTCTTTGTGCAAATTAACAATTATTGACATATTTTTTTTTTCTTTTCTCTCTGTCTATCTGCAATCAGCCTTTTATTAGATCCACTAATATCAATCAAGAGAAATATAAATAATGTAAAAAAATATATTTATCAAGTTCTTTGATATATAATTTTAAAAGCTAGCTTCTGTGATAGTTATATTTATTAATATTTATAATATTCTTGATGGTAGCATTGTCACTGCAAACAAAACAGTGCAAACCATAACAAATGGTTTATTATTCATAATGGGCTCCCTTTTGACCTTATTTTGGTCCAAGGACATGAATGAAATTATATATACAGTGGAAGGAGCTTGCCCAGAAGAAAATTATTATAATAATAACCTATTATTTGTTCCGTTCGATATCCGGAATCCATCTTGAGTCAAGCATCATCCTTTTTGTGACGTTTCCGGTCCAAAACAATACCTCCCTTCTTACTTCCGGCGCCTGTGCTGCCATCTAGTTTGCGGATAGCGAACCAATGACTTTTAGGCACGAACGCTTACCGTCATTATAGCGTCGTTTTTCGTGGCGAAAACATCGGTCCTACATAAAATGTGCACAAATTATACTTATTATTATATAGTTTAGTGTTAAAATTAAAATGAAATGAATATAAAATTAACCTCCCTTCGTAATGGAGCAATGGGACAGCGAAATAAACAAAGAAAACAGCATTGAAGCAAGCTCGTTTATTGTCTTCGAGCTCATCGAACAGTGTCGTCGGATTCCAGCTCGGAGAGAGCAAGTAAGGTACAGAAGCGAGAAAAACTGTAAGTGATTTGCATTCGATTTGTTACCCCAACCAGTGACATTTTTTGATAATGCATGATAAAATCTGGAAAACTAAATCCACCTATGCATTTTTCCATAACAAAATAGCACATAGTATCCATACCAGGACCGCAATTATGGCAACCACAGCCACCATCACGTTCCTTACGACCCCACGGTCCTGAACAGTTCCTACTTGCAGCGGTTACGACTGGTGATAATTTTCTTTATGTACCTACTATAGTAAAACAATCAACACAAGTTCAAATAGGATTTTTTTTTTTGTTAATAACGTTAACGACCCAGTCTATGGTGAAACCAAATTAGATGAAACATGCTCAAATTAAATTATAAGTTGAGGCGATTTGTTTCTGCTACAACAATTTGATGATTTAAGATAAGATCTTTATTTGCGAGAATAGAAGTCATTATAATTATATTTTATAGAAATGGTACAATCTACAGCAAATTAACAAATACCTTAACAGAATTAAAGTATGAATCAATTAGTTTAGAACTAGTTTACAACAAATTGTAGATTGATCTATTGCTAAAGACCTTAATGCTAAAGAGCTTTTTGATAAAATCTAATCAACATTCAACAAGGATTATATTTTCCAAATATTAAGTGGAAGACGCACTGATGTGTTCAGAGCCGTGGCGAAGTTTTCTGAGGTGCCTTTACAGAAATTTTTGCCAAATTCAGAGTTCAAAGTCAAAGTCAAAATAATATTTATTCAAATAGACTTCTCTTTTGAATCGTCCAACATTTTTCCCCACCACTTCTTCAGGACGTCTCTTGGCTGATAGGAAGAACGAACAAGTTCTTCTTTAATAATAGTATATTGCACCCAAAAAACAAGGGGGTGCATAAAATGGTTGCAACTGCAAGTTGATTCAAGGTAGATTACCAGAAGTACACACCAATATTTAAATGGTAATGAGACCAGTTCATTAAACTTTAGAAATAAATACAATGCATGACATGACACATTGGAGGGGGCTATCTAATGCGATCTGTAAGTTTATGAAACAATCAGGATGTTCCAGATTGCATATGTGGAATCTTGGGCGAGTGGCTAACCAGTTCCAAGGTGTCACCATTTCCGAGCTCCCGCATTCCACTCTCGGTCATGTTAATACAGATAATGAGCTTTTCTATATTGTCTCTGGTCTGGGTGTTGTTACCTTCGTTGTTTCAGATTTCCATAATACAAGTGTTTAACTATATCATTTGGTATCTAAACTATGTAGGTATGTGATGGTATAAAAATTATATTTTTATGCGTGGGATTTTAAACCATCTTCAAATATCATTTGCAATGCTCAAATTAATATACTGGAGATTACAAAAAACACCCTGTTTTGTATCATTTCCTCTTCTAATGTTAAAGCCCGACAATTTCATTTAAAACGACACTGATTTGTCAAAATAAAACCTTTTCGACTGATCAATAATTTTCGTATTCTGAACATTCTCATACAAAACGAATGGTTTACGAAAATATATCCGAGCCAAAAGTATTTTCATTTGAGTATCGCCGAACAACATCTGGTTCACAGGTTCTTGAGACTGGCATACAACAACCTACCTAATGCAACTGACGTGTCTCTTTGGACTGCCATCGGTACTCAAAAACTTTTCTGCCTAGACCAACACAACAACTGCGCTACCACAATAGCAACGCTTAGGGTGGTCTCTCAACTTCGAGCAGTGTGTGCTGGTTCTGAGCTTCCTCGGCGTTGCCTGGTGCATCGTGACCAACACGGTCACGAGGTGCCGGGAAGTGCTGGGGAAGTCAGGGGTAAGTCCCTGTCGGAACCGAAGTGCCTTACGCTACGCATGGCACTTCAGCACGAGGCGACTACACGTGGCGGTTAGTCCCTCAGACAGGCCCAGTTCCTAATGGGGAGACTCGACTTTGCCTCGTTTGTGATTCGAAGAGGGTGATTACACTGTTGCACACAGCAATACTACCATCGACAGTTGCCCAAAGATCACCATTACCACCGAATCAAACTACCAGACTCAGTACAGAACATTCAGCGAAGTCACTGTTTGAATCGAACGCTTCACGCTACGCATGGCATTTCAGCATCAGATTGTACAAGGCGGTTAGTCCCTCAGACAGGCCCAGTTCCTAATGAGGAGACTCGACTTTGCCTCGTTTGTGATTCGAAGAGGGTGACTACACTATCGCACACTGCAATACTACCATCGACAGTTGCCCAAAGATCACCATTACCACCGAATCAAACTACCAGAATCAGTACTGAACATTTAGTGAAGTCCCTGTTTGAACCGAACGCTTCACGCTACGCATGGCACTTCAGCATCAGATTGTACAAAGCGGTTAGTCCCTCAGACAGGCCCAGTTCCTAATGGTGAGACTCGACTTTGCCTCGTTTGTGATTCGAACAGGGTGATAACACTGTCGCACACTGCAACACTAACATCGACAGCTTAAAACTATTACTACCTATTCGGATTACCAGACCCATTACTGAATGACTTAAAATGGTAAGTAAATGTTGTATCATGATACCTTCCAATAAATGCAACGCAAATCGCTCAACATCCGAGGACAGGTGCATAGGAAATCTGTTCGAGTGCTCAACTCGGGGCAATTACTCACGCGAGTCTTCATTTCGCGGAATGCCTAGATGTAAATGCTAAGAGAACTGTACCGATTCCCGTACATAAACAAAGATGGAGGACCAAATCTAGGAAATTATTGTAATTATGACACGAACAAGGCAGATTTAGAAATTATGCATAGCCTGAATACTAAATCTAGCAGCCCAATGTACACCAGATGTGAACTTATTCCATCGACAAAAGCACACATCATTCCCAGGTTCATGACAATGGATGTGACGGACGAGCAAGCTAATAAGTCATAACGCATGACGTCATCAGTGCAAATGCAAGCTGGCCTTATTCAAACATGATTCCGCAAATACGTTCTCGACTCCAGTAAGCGTCAAGGCAAGTAAGTACATTATGATTGTTCCAAAATGGGACAAAGTGTCTTGGCTGACGATTTGTTTCCGCAAATACTGCAATAGGTATGGCAACAGGTGTTCATCCCCCGAAATTCAGAAAATTTATTTAAAAGTCTGACAGAACAAAATAAAATAAAGAAAATCTTGAAACTATCGATTTAATGTAAAGCGACTATAAATATCTACTAGTATTAATTCTGCAAATAACAAGTGCCCGGTAGGGAAATTCTGCTAATGTCGGCGTAATGGTGGAGGGTCAATAGCGCTTCGACTACAACCCTTTATGACACATTCTTGTTACTAGATCATAAAATAATAAATATATCTATCAATATTGAATTGTTAGGAAGACATTGCACTAATAATATTAGACTTCAGGTATATAGTACAATGGAAATTTTACGTAGATTGGCAGAATTGCCTCTATTTAAGTTGCTGGAAATTAAGCATAATTTCACAATCTTCAAGGTCGCAGAATCCATTATTTAACCCTTTTAACCTTTGAAGTACAGGGACGAAAATGATTTTTTGTCTTATGGTCCCATTTTGTATTAAAAACAGATAATAGTAATTATGACAGCCTGGATAGAAATGATTAACTGACGCAAATCATTCGATTGCTTGTATTGGACACGCGATCAATTTTTGTATTGAAAAAGCCCCAAAAAGAAGTAATTTTCACGAGTTAACTACTCTGTTCTCAAAAATGCTAAATAGAAGTACATAATGTAGAAGATTCTTCAGGGTCTATTACATCTGCAGTTCCATCTCTAAATTGACTGGAACTGTTTCCGATGGATAAATTACTGAAACTGTGAACTGGCGCCAAGAACATACTTTTAAGAAGTCCTATCGAAAACTGATAAATCGGACAATCAAGAAAATTTCGATATCTATGTATTTACATTTTTATTATTCTTAATTAATGATATTGACCGATAACAGATAAGCCAATATTTATTTAGCTTAGATTACCGAAACACTTGAATAATTATTATAATTGCATTGTTATGTAACAGCATAATATATGTACTATGTGTGTAATAGCATAATATACTTATAATATGCATTATTTTTTCTCATCAGACTACATTTGACTTTTTATACCTGCAACACATTATAGCGTCACCAATGGCACTCACCAGGAGATAACAAACACATCACTCAAGATGGATTCCGGATATCGAACGGAACAAATAATAGAGAGTTTTAACTACCAATAAAACTTACCTATTATTTTTCCTAAAGATATCCGGAATCCAGGTAAGTTCTACCTGGTGCATCTAGAGTAGGTATAATGACGGTAAGCGTTCGTGCCTAAAAGTCATTGGTTCGCTATCCGCAAACTAGATGGCAGCACAGGCGCCGGAAGTAAGAAGGGAGGTATTGTTTTGGACCGGAAACGTCACAAAAAGGATGATGCTTGACTCAAGATGGATTCCGGATGTCTTTAGGAAAAATAATAGGTAAGTTTTATTGGTAGTTAAAACTCTCTATTATAATGTGTTTCATGATTGTAATAAAATGATGCAAGCCTAATTAATAACTGAACTTTTAGCAAGAAGAAAATAAAGAGCATCCCCGGGTGGTAGTATCAAGATCTCATCCTGGTAAGGTAGCAGAAATTGCTAAAGAGGCATTTGGGGCAAACACTATTGTGACCCCTGCTGCTGGTGCTGGATTCAAGGTGATGGGAGTTGTAAATGGTACATATGATGTTTATCTTCACGCTACTGCTATTAAGAAATGGGACCTCTGTGCCGGTAATGCAATTATTATGGCTGTCGATGGAATGATGACTACAGTAAAAGGTGAAAATATTGACTATTCAACTGATAGCAATGTGAAAGTTACAGATGGTATAATTGTAACACGATATGATCATGACTATTATCTCAGCAAAATGCCAAAGATATTGTCTGCATTGCCTTAAATGTGCCAAGTGTTATGGGAGAAAGAGAGGCATGTTAGTTTCTTGAGTGTTTTTATTTGTTATTTTACTGTTGACAGACAAAATCAATGGTTGTTTGAAAGGATTTGTGCAATAATACTAAATCAAAAATGGAAAAAATATCTATTGATTATTAATTATTTGATAATTCTTATTCATGTCTGTGAAAATATTAACTATTGCTCAAAATACAAGTGCTGATGCTTACATTAGTAATTAAACCCTATTAAATTGATAAGTGCTTTGTTTACTTACATAGATTCTGTTTATTATTATTTTGTAACTTATTTTCATTTTGAAAAGAGAAACAACTATGAGAAACTATTACAGTAATTTAAAAATATTGAAAGTAAAAAAGAAAAAAAATCATGATCAGACTAGAAATGGATGTACGAGTAGTATTGTTGGCTGTGTCAAAATCAACACTATGGTATTTTAGTTAAAACTGCATAATTGTAAAACGATTTTTGTTTATATTTAATATATTTATTTATATTCTGTATATACGAAGCTATTTTTAGGTTTGACTTTGTCTCTAAAGACACTTATTATATTGTAAATAAAATCATTAAAATAAGTTAAAAATCAAATATTTAATTTAGTGAACAAGAAAAGATGATAGAAAAGTAATAAAAAAGCAGTTGTCATATTTATCCTTGTAAACAGTTATGTTATTTTAAAGTTGAACAATCATGACCAAACCAGCCATGTGGCGAATATTTTATATAATGGTACCTACGAGCAAACGATGCGATTTCGTCGTACGACGAGATTAAACACGCATAGTCATCGTGCGATCATCGCAATAAACGTAACATAGAATTGTTTGATCGCCCGAGCGTTCAATTAAAACTAATGTTATTGCCGCTATATTTGGTGACACGTGCACGCGAAACAGCCGTAATAGGCCATGGGTGGCGCAGAGTCAAAGCGAATCGAAGCATCAAATTCTTCTCAATAAAAATGTGCGCGTCTAGTATCTAAAGAGAACAGTTACGCTTTATATTTAGAAGATGGAACCTTTCATAAAAATCTTTGTAAGAAAAGGGGTCCCTTCCAACCTAATTCATTAGAGTGCCTTAACCAGAGAATACAGAAAGACGTCTTAACTCTTCTAATCTGCGCTACCAATCGTACAGTGGCGGTTCAATGAAACTTAAGCACCCTAGGCGATGACCCTAAAAATCACCACAAAACAGATTAATGTAGGTACCTACACCGATTAAAGAGTGTAAATTTGCCAATGACAAAAGAAATTTCCTGGGTGCCGATTGAATACCGCGGCCAGGGATCATGTTCAACGAAAAAATAAATTTGTTTCCCATACCATGCCGCCAACCAAACAGGAGCGCCCTAGAAAGTTGCCTATATAGAGGGGCTGGCCTTGTTCTTAAATCATCATGAAATTTATTAGGACACCTATTCGAAGACGAAATCGCACCGTTTGCTTCTATGGTTAGCCAATTTCCCTTAAAATGGACCTTCATTACCAAATTTCTCAAGAAATGGATAGAATGTAAATATTTTGTAGAAAATCTTTGGGAAAGTTATATTTTTGTAGATTTTAATAACCTCCATAAAAATTTTATGTTGCATTGGTTAGCTGTGTAAAATAAATTTGTTTTGAAAAGTTATATATTTTTGTAGTTTAATAATTTTGTTGCATTTCCTTGCAGTGTAAAGAAAATAAATTGAAACATAAGATTGTTTATTTTTAAACGGTGCTAACTTTTTGTATAAATCTTCCTTGCGGCTTATCTTGCAAGTTAAAATATTCATATGGTTTAATTCATAATAAATCTATGGTTAATATTGATGCACCAAGCTGTGCGGTAAGAACGCAAATGTGACAGTATAATTTTGCTAAAATAATAAAACGGTTGTATTATTGTAAATAAATAATTGAAGTACAGTTTATTTGTCATTGTTTATATCATTAGCACATTGTTACCTTATAATAATGCATAATAAATAAATATTAGACCACATCACGTTCCTAAAGCACTAGTATTAACATCCGGACCAGAGATAATATAGAGTTCCTGTACCTGGGACCTGAGATGGTGACACCGTGATACCAGCGAACCACTCTTATGGATCGTGCCCTTTCATTAATTAGCTTTCCGCCAGCGGCTTCAGTGCGTGGTCCTTTATTGTAATACCTACCTATGATATTAGAGTCAGATATATAGCGATTATATCACTTCAATGTTTGCATGGCATTTAGCATCCGAATTAAAACAGTTTGTGATTTCATTAAATCAGTTTACCGTTCAAAGGGATTAAAATACAAAGACCGATAATAGCTGAATTCCAAGCGGCCGAAGTCACGGGCGGATAGCCAGAAGAAACATTAGTTAAATCATCTTGTATGTTTGTAAGAAGAGGGGATTTTATTAAAAATAAACAAAAGAAAGATTATTACAAAATTTCATTGCTTTTTAATTAAATATTATTAATGCAATTTGATGTTGAATTGTACATGTATTTTTAATAGTAATTATATTAAGTTTTAAGTCTATCCAATAATACCTGAAAAATAAATATTAAAACAAAAATATTTAACATTCGAAAACATTTCAAATTGCAATACGCATTGTTATTACATAGATTTCTTGTCAAAAAATATAACACCCTCCACAAGTGACAATTATGTTGAACTGCGAGTTTGTACAGACGACAGCACATCAAATAATACAAAACTGTCTAACTCAACTGATTTTAAATCTTATAACGCTGGCAGTAGAGTACAAAATCGATTGACTTTTTTTTGTGTGTGAAACTTGATGTGCCGTCGTATATGTACAAAAATAAATTTACATAACTTTCTACACAACAAGAACGCAGTTTCCGTGTACACGTCGCCAAATTAACGGTACAGAATATTAATTATAAAATAAATCTCGGTATCTCTATATTTACAATTGGGGTTCGCGATTCGGAAACGATACATTACAAAGACTAGGTATATTTTTCACATATCACTAAAAACTGGGAAAACCACCAAATTAATAAAGAAAAATCCTCATACTTTCTATTAGGCACGAATAATTATTCAATAATAGTTATTTACGGGATTCTACCATGGTGGTAACATGAACCTTGTTTAAATTGAGTCTTTTCCTCGATATTTCAGTTGTAGTTGTGGTGCAGACGTATCTGAAACTAAAGGATAAAGTACATGGTAGTAAACCCGAAAATAGCTATTACTTTAACGTCATTGACTGACCATCGATGTAGGGAATGGATAATCTTATTATGCTTATTAAAGTGTTGCCATCTTATTGGATCCTGAAACGAATTCTCGACTTTATTTAGTCGCTAATTTATGGATTAGTACCAAGGTACACCAGCAGGTTAAAATAAAATAATAACAAAATTTCCGTAATCGAATTTAAACACTGTACTTTTTAAGGTTCAGAATAAGTTGAAAATATTTGAATTATGTATATAATGCTGTTTGACTGTGTAGTCTACGTTGGTATGTGTGTTACATTGCTATTTTCACATCGTCTGCTATTGTGAATTTGATTAACTGAAACTTGGCATCCTAGGCAAAACACCAGAACTACGCCCATAAAAAATCCACAAAAAATAAGACTAATGTAGGCACACCGATTTTAAACAATGTAATTTTTCCTACGACAAAAGAACTTAGGTACTTATGCTTTGGCTGGTATGGCATTTTTAAGGTTCAAATCATTAGAGCAAACATTCCGTTTGCCATGCCATGCCGCCCGCAAATACGAGCGCCCTAGGCTGTTGCCTAGTTTGCCTTTATGGACGGACCAAAAAATTTTGACAGTATTGATACCACGTGAAAATGATTTAAATTAGCAATTTCCATTCCATACCTAATTTCTAATAACAAAATGAAAATAATTAATGTGTGGCATACATCAAGCGATAATATGTTACAACAAGGCGTCTTATAATAAGCATAAATCTGTAGAGTGAACTTAAATAGAATTTCAAAGTATTTTTCAGTGTTCATGTACGTAAGACTACGAGCATGCTGGTGATTTTCTATCACCGTGACTTAATGCTTCTGGCATTTATATAAATCATTTGCATGTAAAGGATGGACAAAAAGTTGCTTCAAAGATTAATCTAAATATTTTTTTACATCCATGTCTATAAAAATGTAAAGAGGGGAAAAGTAAAAAATTATATTTTGTGTACATATATATAGTTATTTTGTATAACGCAATCATATGAAAAGGATCATTGGATTAAATGTTGTCTAATCGTCAAATGGATCAAACAAGAATTGTACATTAGACTTACTGAAAATAGGGCAACATTGATCAATTGCGATTTGAAGCAGTCCACTTAAAGGGTTTTTAAGTTATACAAATTTGCTCGACTCAATCAAGTTCAACAAACATGAGCGCTCTGTGTAAATGTATCTGTCTCGTGTAAATAATTTAGTGAATACTCACCTTAAGATTATACTTCTAAGATTGGACATTTTTATAATGATAAATAATTTTTAAGAGATGGAAAATATCTTTATTTCACCCTTCAGTTGTTAGTTCATTATAGCTAATATATCCACTTTCAATTTCACAGCCACGAGTCGCAAGCAGCTGGTAACACATTGTGGGCTTTATGTAGTACAGAATCAGAGTAATTATTTGAACAGCTCATTCAAAATGCATATTATAAATAAATTAAGTTTATTAAGTTTTATGTAGGAATAAAAAATAAAGAGCAGAGTTTTACAATTGGAAACACAATCTCAGGTACTAAATTTACAAAATATACAAAAAAAAAAAAAATTAAAAACTAGCACTGAACAAATTATTTAGAAAAAAAAAGGTACAGTCGACAGCACTTCAGTTTATCGAAAACTGCTGATATTTCACTTCTATTTTTTAATTGAACCTTAATCTGTTAACAGTTAAGTCCAAAATTGAATGTGGTAACATTTTATAGTAACCTGAAGTGCTGTTGCATTTTAATTTATACATATTTTCAGTACAATTTCAGTGCAGAACATATATAGTTGACGGCACATACAGAGTTATAAAAAACTGTTTCAGTAGAACGTTAAAGTTTCGTTACTTTCAAACGTCAACAGATGGCGTTGGTGTAATAATTTGACATTTTATTTATTTTACGAGTGTCCAGTAACCTTATCCAATGTACTCAACAACAGATTTTGTTTGCTGTATTTTCTCAATACCCTTCAATTTGATTAAAACGTGTTTTTTTTATTAATACAAAGGTGTTTAGAACATACAGAAATCAAAGTTTTAGCGTAACATCATAAAATATTAACGACATTTTATTGACAAAAATTCACCAAATTAAAACGTCAGCGACATCTATCGTCAGTGATAAGTAATTTATTGAACTTGAACACTTTTTGCATATAATTTAATGTGCTGGTGTGTACATTCGCGAACAAAATTTAAAAACGGTTTATGAAAATGAAATATAATAAAGTTTTACAGTTTTTTTAAACATTTTTAAACAGTATTCATGGTATAGTTTTGTGTCGGTATCGTTCAAGTAAAGCCCCCAGTATCTCCGTCTGCCGCTCGCCGGCACTCACTCGCGTATGTACAAACACGTCACATCGTCCCGCAGTGTAACACTTATCACATACTGAGATTTTTATCGTCCATGCTCGATACAGCGCCGCGGTGTGATGTTACACGGAATCGTCTGAAACGTATTATCACTGTGAATACGACTTGTTTTGCTACTCTATAACAAATACAGCCAACATAGCGCTGTCACAGCATTAGAGGTTTAATTTCTTTCAGTTCAGAATGTCCCAGAGTGCTTAACGGTTTCAAAAGGTAATTCCTGAAATGTCCTGTTTCCAAAATGACTAATTCACTAAAAGTTCAATTCCAAAAATCTTCTTATCATGGTGGGTTTGTTGAATACTATGGATACAATTATATATGTATATATAGCAAGGTGTTAATGTTTAATATTTCTAAGACAAGCTATGAGCAGTAATTCAACTAGTGTGCTACATTTATTCATTAATATTGATCATGATATTGGATTGGATATTTTGTGAATTGGACTTTTACCTTATATACCGTTTCATGAGCTATAATTTGATTGATTTTGAACAGAATGGGCTTACAGTAAAATCCAACAAATATGCGTGTCGCGAATCTTTGTTTACGCAGATCAGTCTTACTAAAGGTAAAAGCAGATCCATCACAAAAGAACGCAGCGAAGGAGGCGAAAGAAAGAAATAATCGGAATTCTTAAGACCAAAGGTATAATAAAATTGCTAATCAGTCAATCCGTCTCAGCCGTATACGGTGGGGTATTTCTGATTCAGGTTAGGATTCGTCGGGCTTCGTCACGTCTCAGACTACTATTATACGTTTTGCAAGCCATATTAAGGCTCTTTTACTCATGGCTCGATGCGTTGCAATTCGGTATCAATGATGGATCGCGCACGAATCGCACGCCCTTATAAAATGTATGGAGAATTGCAAGTGTTCACTCATTGGACAATCTGTTGATATCGGTCATAAATCTTCTCGACATAGAATTGTATGTACGTACTCAATGGTCTGCGATATCGCTCCAAATGCTTGATACCGATTACTGGGTAGAATATCAGTGCTTTAGCATTACCAATCCTCATTGGGACCTTAACGGGGGCCTAGTTAGGAATTCTCAGTGTTTTGGTTTCAGCTATTAAGAAAATATTGCTTTATCACCAATCCGCACTGGAACGCGCTAGAAAAAATGACAAATGCACGCGAAACCGTAAACACACACCTTTTATATTTGATTTATAAAAATATATTGAATTTAGTAAAAGTTGTTTGGTATTGGTTATGTGCACGACTTCAGCGACACCTAGCGTCCGCAATCTTGCGTGCTTTGGCGCTTTGAAATTAAACGTGTTTTTTTTTGACAAAATATTAAAATCAACAAACTATCTAATCATTTATATCACCAAACAACTGCGATACTGTGATTTGGGTAGACAGAGGGGTGTCAATTTTTTTTTTTAATCAATTTTTTTTTAAATTTTTGTCAATTTTTTTTTTACAAATGAGGTAACTAAATTTTATTTAAAAATGTGCTTTATTTTGGTTTTATCAATACGTATACAAATTATGATTTAGATTTGAATTAAAATTAACAAATGTATTTGTAAAATTAAATTGAAAAATTAAATATTTTTTTGTATTATAAATCAAGATCAGTAAACAGTTATCATCACGTTAATTAAGTGGAAAGAAATACAAGTACATAGTATGGTATGACAGAGCTCGCAATGTTTTTCACTTTAGGCCACCATGTGCGCTCCCATGATTGCGCAAATTTTCGAACTCAAATTTGACCTTTCTATAGGTTTGAAATTTTTCATAGACATATAAGTCAGATGACATTGCCATATTATGGTGTCAGGAAGCTGATTTGATGATGAAATTGGAAGGTGGTCATAGGAATTTAGCAATGAAATAATGCAACTGCATCGTGTTTGGGCTCTTTAGATCCGTCTTTATGAGAACAACAAGATATATTGACAAAACTAAAAATATAATTAAAAAACTAACTCACTAAAATATAAATTATAATTTTATCTTACAGTAATTGAGTCTTGAAAAGTTCGTATCGCTAACGAAATCGAAGACGAGGAAATACATATATTTTTATGCGCTATAGCATAGAGAAAATTATTTGCACAAAATTATTATTTACGTTTTAGTGCGCAAAAATAAGCTTGTTTTTAAGAAACTTTTTTCTTGTAGATTTAACTTAATATTTTTATATGAGCACAGTGGCGCAACCCTTTCATTTATATGTTTTTGGGCCTCGGTGCATTTTGTAATAGCTTTAAATTAGAAAGTGTAGTAGGTAAACCGGAGGTAAAGTGTAGCAGGTTACAAGAAATGCTGAAAGCCTTGCCGTTGGATGACTTGTCCATCGATTAGTATATAGTGCTATAAATTGTAAATTAAAACCAAAATAAATTTAATAAAATATATTTCTAATGAATGACATATAATATCGATTAATTATCGAGATGCCTTTAACACATTATCAGTCAGTTGCACAAACGTCCATTAAGGGTTAATGACGCCTTTAAGCTCTAATGAATGTCAATTTTGTATGGGTAATGTCGCTTTTAACTAATGAAAATCTTAATCAACGTTTGTGCAACTGGCTGTATGATTCCCATCATTACGGAATACGTGTCTTTGTACTAGCCAATAGCGTCATCGCAGTTACCTCGCCCCTGCAGATATTGGTCCAATTGCATCGAACCATGAGTAAATAGCCTTAGTTGATTTCCCGCACGCTTCAGTCTTTTATAGCAGACATGCTATGATGTCTGTTTAGTAATAATTTAGTATTGAAAGGAATATGCATAAAATAAAAGCACATAGTAAATTGAGCTGTTTGTCACTAAAAATATGAAAAGATTTTGTCGAGATTTATATAGTTCAGAAATCAATGAAGCAAATTTTTTTTTTCAATATTCTAAAATTGCGCATAACTGCTGACAATAAAGTACGGATATTTTCTTGATTAAATTTAATTATTAATTTATTGGAAGCTTCATGAGGGAACAAAGTTCAAAGCGGCCATAATATCTAGCCGCTACTCCAAAATTAATCTGTCAATGACCCATAAAAATATTACAAATCATTCAAAATTATGAGTAATTTTGCAAGAATTCTGTTAATTAGTATCTGATATATCTTAAACGAATTAAATCTGATATCGTTTTAAAAAATAAATCGCATTTAGCAATGACAATTCAAGTTTTGAACATATTATACATAAATTAAATGTTTGAAACAATAGAAAAAAAAAAACTATTACTGTCAAAATGTTGAAAATTCTCATAACTCTGTTTACCAATTACAATCCTTGCAACCACGCTTAGTAAGAAATAATATAGATAATATCACAAGTAGTATAAATTATAATTAATTCTAAAGATAAGACCAGACAGTAAAAAGAAACATCTATCCAAAAAAATCATCTGTTGAACAGATTAGGAAGAGATAAAAAAAAAATATTTATTATAATAAGTTTTACACAACGAATTGGCATAACTACATATACATTAATAATAAAATAGTAAAATGGATGCTATTTGCATGACTAACTTAACTAAAATAAGAATTTTCGCCAAATTTCGCCTATAAGTTATATTCGTTTGCTGGATTATAATTATTACTTAGCAACTATGACACAAAATAACCTTTAAACTGTTTCCTTAAGAACAAGGCTATTTTAACATGCGTTTGTCAAGCATTTATTGCTTTCGAGGTTAATGCATGGTTTTATTTGTTATGTTCGACTTTGCCTTTGATATGAACTTCAATGTAGAGATTTCCTCATCACATGTGTGAATCATTGTTATATTGAAAATACTTAAATTGACTTAATACAATTTTATGAAACGGATATATATTTTATCACAGCTGTTTAAGATGTAACACATAAAAATATTAATATCCAATTTATATGTATAGATAAAATAATTTGGAAGATATTGACGCCGATAATATATACTTTTTCTGGTTATATTTATAATGAAAAAAAAAAAACAGTTAGTAAATATTGTTAGTAAATGACTAACAAAATGTATATAAAAAAACAACTCGATGATACTTAAAGTTAATTAGTAGAAAAAGGTTTTTTTACTACTTATGCTGATGACCGTAATTAAATATAACGTAACATAATAAAAGTGTGCACTTACCGTGATACCACCATTTCGTTTTTTTAGGATTTTTATTGCAAGTCTTAACATAGAGGGAATTATCTGGGGGTCTTTTCTGAAATAAAAAAAAATCTATTAAAGCATTTTATCACTTCAAAACATTTTGCAAATAGTGGATATGTATGTGGCCTAATTTAAAGTTCCTTGACCCCAAATATTGAATTATAATAACGTAATCATAAATAATTGATAAGCATTACTCGTGTTTAGTTAAATAGATGCTGCTGTTATCATGCAAAAAAATCACCTACTACCCACGATGTCAAGCGGTTATGATTGAATCTATTGCTAATTAGCATGACTGATGCGAAAGTGAAAAGTATTCAGTCTACGATTCATTCTGCTTATGTTAACATAGTTATGATGTGTCAATGGCGTTTATATATCAGTCTTTTGACACAATTCTTGTGATATCGCAAAATAACAAAAGAATTTATTGTATTGATAATATTTGGCGTTAAGTGAAAAATGCAGTGGGAAATTGCAATATTGTAGTACTGATAATTCATTAACATTATACAACAGGATCGAAGGATAGGTGTGGCCAATGTAATAACTCGAGAGAGAAAACTATTTTCTCCGAGCTTCGGAGAGCACAACTGGGTTGCGTCTACTTCAGAAGAGACATTAAATAGATGGTGATGATTTTAAAAGCTCGATAAATAAAATGAATATGTAACCGAAATATTTATAATCTCGAACTTCTCCATGCTTCGGAAAGCACGTTATGGTTTTTACCGCGTCTGCAGACATTAACACCCACCAAAACGTACTGGGCTCGCGTGGTGTATCAAGGCCTTTACCTTATTCGATTCCATCCATTGAAAAAACCGTTTCAACATCAGTGATGACATTAAAAAAGGGCATGTCATTAATACCAGAAACCAAGTTTCAAACGTAGTAATGAAGCCCTAACACTTAGTACGTTAGGTAATGAAGTTGTCAAAAATGTCCATGTACTTCCTTATTGGCAATGCCTTTCATAGATATTCTTGAAGACTTAATATTATTTTATTTGAACAATTTTGTGTTCACAATGCTATACTCCACTTTGTCCCTGGTTCTCTTGAGATGGGATACCATGGACTTTACCGAAAGTTTAAAATATTTGTAAGAATATTTCTTTCGGCTGTTTGGGTGGATTGCCTGAACATTGATGAAAATCGCTCTGAAGTAGCGGAAAAGTAACAGGTGCTTGAAAAATTCGTCAGTCTTGTTAGGTCCTGGGTAGCTCAATGTTTAGAGCAGTCGGCAGTACAACATAGATTTATACAATAAATAGTTTTAAGTTACGCGTAATGATGCGTAACTTAAAATGCATAATGCCTACACTCACCTTCTCCTTACAGCTACTGAGCATCGATACGATTGACAGGCACACTGATTGCACTGACAGCGCCGGCGACCAGTCATCAGTCAGTATTGACAGGCAGATGTGCCCATTAGAGTATACGTGGGGGTGGACAGGGATATTATTGCCTACAAACGTCACCTATAAAAATAATAAAAAGCACCTAAGTTAGTATTAGGCAAAATGGTGTTAGGCTAATTCAAGTTTCCATAAAGTTATTAGGATTAGGCTAATTTAAGTTTCCGCAAAGTTGTCATGATTGCTTATTACAAATAGAACTAAAACATATATGATTTATTTATAATGGTGTCCGTCAGGCTGGCAGCCCCACCTCTGGAGATAAACGGTAGTCTTGGCAGCCCAATAACGTTAGAAAGACTCTTATTTCTCCGAAACTATATAACTGGGCTATTTATTTTTGAAGTGGGCAGTAGACGAAATAAGTTTGGGAAACCCTGCTCTAGAAGATCTATTTAAATTACTGTCAAAATTTTATAACTCGTGTAATCTAGCCATAGTTAAGTACTTATTATACTATGATTGTGATATGCTGATTATGAATGAGAGACACTTTATTCATTTTTAATTTAATTTATTTTAAATGAAATTTCAATTAGACATTTGAATAATATTAAAACGCAATCTTTTTAGTGGCTCTATAAAAACTATAATATTCTGTAGATTGTTATTGCTTTTGGTTCTCTGTCTCATAACATAAGCAATGTCTGGCCTAGCCATTACGCCAGAACAGACCTAATCATTCCGGTGATAATAAAAACGTATGATTAAAATTTAATACAACGAACGCGTTTTTCATTCAGTCAGCCGGCGCGCGATACTTCTAAACGAACGAACGTTCTGATTGGCCAGAATTTGCCGTGCTTCGAAATTTAGCTTGCGCGAATATCTCAGTGAACCGATATACCGATTTCTGTTTCGCTAAACATCTAATTTCAATGATTTATTGAAATTTTATTTTTCTACATACACATAAACTTATCATTGTACGCATATTACGATATGCGAGATGCTTATTAATTAATCACACATTGTTAATATTTACATTTAGAAGTGAATTAATACTCTATCCCCTTGCAATAACTATCAAATTGGCATCTTTTTATAGGTTCAAGATACTTAAAGCTATAGTGCGTGTCTAAATATACATATCAGTAAATAGAACTTGAGATGGTGATAATTGACTAATCACACGAGACACAAATAGTTATTTTACAATAATTTGTTATATTGTACAATTTTATTATGTCACGTGCTGGTTGATTCATAACATTATTGTATTGATTATTATATCTGTGTAGTCTTTTATGGCTATATACTTTTACTTGATATTTTTATTGATTAATTTTTGGCTAACTATTTTTCCGTTAATATGGGTTCACGAAATTAAATAATTTTTTTTGTAATGTGTAATGTATATTAACGATAATCACATTTTTATGCTTATTATATTTATAATATTGCTTATTAATTGTGAAAAAAAAAAATTATACTCGTTGTCACGTGATCGCAAACATTCTCTCTTATTTTAGAACTTAGAGAATTAAACCTTATTCATACATAGCACGATATTCGTTTTAGAGGGGCGTGACATCATAGCGACGCCATGAAAGAAGGTGGCGAGAATTAAATTTATTTTTAGATTTTAACTTATTATTTAAATGATACTTTTTTATATTTCATATATGTCTATAAAATAAAAATAATAATAAAGTAGTCTACGCCCCTATTAGTCCCGTATATTTTAGCCTATGTCACAAGTACCTATAATTTTTAAAATTGGTTCAGTTGCTTAGGAGCCCATTCAATGTTAACAGACAATCAATCAACTCTTTTCTTTTTGTAATATTGGTATTGATAATGTTTACATCTTATTAAGTACATCTTTTATAAAGTACATTTTATTTTTCAAATTTTGACCTCACAATAGTATAGCAAAGTGTTCAAGTCGCAGTAGCCTGTTTATTATTATTATATTTGAACAATTTTGCATTCACAATACTATATCGGATTTTTGAAAAAATGAAAAATGCTTAAAAATCCTCTTTATTTTTTTAAGTATTTTTATTGAGAATAATAACTTTTATTACTAAAATTTCTAACTTTAATAGGCTTCTTGGTCAATTTTTTGTATAAATAACAATAAATGTGTAACTAAAATCACCAAATACATTTTTAAGTTACCTTTATTTATATTTTATATTTTAAGTGAGTGAAATAGTAAAACTTTATCTATGAAATTCTATATTTTTTTATTAATGTAAAATAAATTAAGAATACTACCCTCACTTATAAATGTAAATATTGTGAATGCTATTCATAAATAATAAAAATTTGTAGACTGATATACATGATTTTGAATGCAGATTAATTAATTTGCATAATATTGTTCAGTTTCTTCTAGATAGAGTTATCAGTGACACCAATTAATCATTTGTTTGATAACATTTTACAATGCAGAGCCTAGAATAAATCTATCAAAACATATAAATAAATATTAGATAGGCAAATTTGGTTGCTAAGACCCAAAATTCATAGACAAAGGTACTGTACAATTAATCCTGAGACAACATGGATGTAAATTTTTCTATATTGGCCAAGTCAGGAATTGAACCTGAGAAATGGGGACACCTTAAATCTGCCTTACTGCTTAGTCATAAAGATCATAAAATATTACAAACTGTAAAATAGTAATTCAAACTTCATGAATAAAGTAATAAAAATTAGTAAATTAATTGATGCCATATTGCTGTATCCTTACCTCAGGGGAATCAAATGGATACTTATTTGTAAATTTAAATTGCAATACAAATTTTTCTCCCTCATATAATGTGCCCGGCACTCCTTCCATGTGTACTGTCCATCTGATAACAAAAAGAGTTCTGCTTAGTATTAAACTAATGTTTGGATATCTTATCTGCTTTGTTGTAAATTTTACAGAAGTACATAATCACAGTTGAATGAATGAATTTCTTCAAGGCGAATTTCTATCTCAATAAGGAAAGAACCTTACAGTTTAGTTATAAGTACAGCATCAAACTCTAAAGTGAATTTTGATCTTATTTTTCACATTAAACATGCTGCACTTTTTCTAGAGAATAATGATAGCATGTTAAAAGCAAAATGTCAATACATACTGAGTTTAAAAGTTTTTCCCGGATTCTAATTGGGTTCTAGTAATTTTGAGAATTGTATTAATTGAAACTTCAAAATGCAAGTACTCACAATGTAAGATTTTGACTGGCTTGGTCTCCATCCACGGTGACTCCTGGAGGCGGTTCCCTCATCAGGGACATAAGTTCTTTTTGTAATCTCCGCTAAAATAATGATGAAGTTTTTATTATAGGATTTATTGAGATTTTTGATGAAAACCTGTCAAGACTTGAATTTTGAAGAAATATGTTTTAAGACTCACAAAATATTTTTATTTTATATCTAAAGTGTAAAAAACATTTGAGATGAACGTCATCTGTATGAAGTTATGGTTAAAACACGTAAATATTATTTATTTTCAGTTACCTCAGACGGGGACATAGCCGCCATTGTAATCCAATTGATCTTTGATGTTACTAGGTAAAAAAATATAAAATGATTCAATTTATACAATATACCAAATATGACATGTATATTTAGGATAAAAGTGGCATCTTATTTTACAGCTTAATGATTGCAAAAAAATAAATAATTCACTTTAAAATTATATGTATATAATCAATTTACTAGCTAAGCTAGGACAGGCTAGACTATGTATCATTCGAAACGGTATAATATAGTTAAGATTACAAAAGTAGTTGCATGATATTAGTTTCAGTAGTAATAGTAGCAGCATTTGCACATGTAGACGTTTCGTTTCACAATACTGCTTGTGTATGTATTAGTTTAGTTTCACAACATTAAAGTAATTTTAAGCCATGTGCATATTTTTAATGATACTAGTTGCAATATCACCCGATTTTGGCACGACATCTATTTATTGGCAACGGTAAACGACAGTGTGAAAACATCATATATACTTATAGTAGTCATGATTGTGTTAAACTACCAGTCCGATGATATCGTGCAGTTATCGTCTAATGTAAATGCCACGTAAATACGTCCACACACAGCGTCCACAGAACAAGGATAAAGGCATGGAACAATAACATAATCATTAATAACCTAGTACTTGTACCTATATTAAGTATCGATATTGTTAGCTAGCAACACTGAATCTAATGTCAGAAAACGAACAAATGTCAATCAAATCTAGAGATGTCTAGATAATAAAAAATCGATATATTGGGGTAAATTTATATCGGTTACAGTTAATATTGATATGCCCATATATTGTATCACAAAACCGATATATCAATATTTTAGGTCTTAAAGTAAATTCGAAAGATCTTATTTGTAAAAAACTTATGAAAATAAATTTCTTTCATCATAAAATTATTAAAAAATTTGGCAGCGGCTACTGAATTTAGGAACAGTAACTTGGACAGCCTCCTTCCTGGTAGTTTTTGTATACATCATGATGAACTCGAGAGCGTTTTGCCTACACCTAAACGTCACTTTTCTTGAGTGCATCTAAGAATGGGTAAGCAATAATATTAACTGACTGACTGCATGTTTTTTTTTACTTTCTACTCAGTTTTTATGTTTAACTATAACATTTTGTTTATTTCTTGTTTTTTATTTGATAATTATCTGTGTCTTCATTTTTTTAGGGTTCCATATCCAAAGGGTAAAATTGAAATTGAAAATTGAAATCTAATTTAATTTAAACTTAATAATATATTTTTTGCTGTCATTACTGAACAGTTGAAATCTTCACAGATAATATATTTTTGTTACCGATATAACATGAAATACTAAAAAAGATAATAAATTAAATATTCAAGGGAGCTCCCATATAGAGTCTGGCAAGCGAAACGTGTCACAAGAAAAGGGCGGCAATTTCAAAAATTCTTAAGCAGTAAACACTGAATGTAGTACTGCAAAATAATTTTGATACTTTTATTAATTATATTTAATCTTAACATTTAGATATCAATTAAAATTATTTGTTTTGGAACATTTGACTAAAGCGTGACTGTTCTTAATTGTACAGTTAACAGCATATCAGTAGGCCTATTCACTAACTCAACTGACAACCAAGAATCGTCATCACCGTAAAAAATAGACACTTTGATTGTGTCAAAATCACTATTTCGTATTCTCTATCAATGATGAGCAATTTCGAAATGTCTTTAGGACCGTAAGGTTGAATCTGTGGTCCCTACTGTGGTGATGGAGACGACTGGCTAGGGAGACTAAAGGATAATTGTCTCCCTCCGTGCTAGGTGTTATTAGCCCGGAGACCGCGGTCCAACCGATGTAGGTTGGACGTTCTATTTATGTTAATTGGTAATTAAACTTATTCTGTGTGATGTAGGTTTCTTTGTTCTAAATGTCTTGTAGTTATTAATTTATGCTGTTTATATTGGTACAGCGCCATCTCGTTACTTGGTGTTGAAACTTCTTGTAGTTCGTCTTGCTATCGATTGGCTGTGACGATGCTAGTCTTCTCACTATCGATTGTTGTGACGATGCTAATGCGATGAGTTAGATGTCGCTATGTATCAGTCGTCACATGTCAATATCGGCATTCTCCACTGGACTCCATTTTGACACTTGATTTCGTATCGATAAACTGTATTAAAGTAACATTGTTGCAAAGCATATTTGAAGTCGTCGCATAGTACCTCTTAAGCCATTTGTTGTTAAATTAAAGCGAAAAAAAATACGTATCCAATATTTTTCTATTATCTGACTGACGGACTAAATCGAATCTTTTTTTTAACCCATTCGTTATACCTATTGGCTAACAGCACTTATAATATTAAAAATTCATATTTGTCATTAATTAAAAGGGTGTTTTTTGCAACGACTTCTTTGTTTTTTTGTAATGAATATGGGCGACTCTGGCCACATTTTTTTAATAAATGTGATGTTAGCCAATTTTGATTTCTGGCCCTTATATTTATAATGTGTTCATAACACATACATGTCTCCTAAGGGATTTTCATCACAACCTTTTGCTCTGATCCAGAACCACTATCTATCAAATTAAATTAGTCAATATAAACACCAGATTACAATAAAAAAAACATTTATTTTTGTTACAATTAAGTGCCATGGATAAATTACATAATACAGGTGTCACAAAATCATCATGTTAATCACAATAGAAAATTTAAGATAAGATTTTGACTATGAATCAGACTAAAAATACTTTAGTCTGATTCATAGTCAAAATCTGTTTCTAAATATTCTACACCTGATAACAATGACAAGGAATCATCAGAGTCACTCTCTTCACTACTGTCTGCACCAACAGATATAATAAATTTTTCAAGTTCGTTTTCAACAATGCCATCTTTTAATTTGTAATCATTTTCGACATTTAAAACATGATCAGTGTATTTCTTCCAGTCACTAGGGGTAATTAAGTTAAAACACTCTATTATTAAGTTTTCCATTTCCTTTCCTGGTATTCCAATGTTTCTGCTTGCAAGTTTTCTTTTTGCTTGACTCCAAACCATCTCTATTGGGTTTAAGTCACAATGATACGGTGGCAGCAATAAAAGTTCATGATTATGTTCTTTTAAAATCTCTTCAGCTTCATATACAGGCAATGTTTTCTTATCATTAACCAAACACATTAACTCTGCCTTTGTCTGATATTCCTCAAAATGTATTCCATTATTTACAAGCCATTTACGGATATCTGCTTTGGTATTAGACATTATAGGCGGTTTATTGATTTGTTTTATATGGTAGCTGGCATTATCCATAACAATTACACTGGGCTTACTTAAATTTGGTATTAATTTTTCTCTGACCCATTTCATAAAGTTCGATGAGTTCATATCATCATGATAATCAGCAGATTTGGATTTACTACTGAACACTAATAATGCACCAGGCACAAAACCTTCCTCAGATCCAGCATGCACAACAATATGCCGTTTTCCAGAGGATATCTTTGTAGTGACACCAGTTGTTGAAGGTCCTTGCCAAGACTTTTTAACTTTATAATTCTGATGTACATAAGTTTCATCAAGGTACACAATTTGCTTTCCTTCGTTTCGTTTTATATTTATTTCTCTCAAATACTTGTGCCTCCATGCAGAAATCTGGTATTTTTCTATAAGCATAGAACGTTCATTTTCATTGCTTTTAAAAGAAAATCCATTCTTAAGCATAATTTTTCGTAAAGTCTCACGGCTACCACTGAATCCTATTGCATCTTTTAATTCATTGTGAAGGCTTCTTAATGTTGGAACAATTTTTTTCACACAGTAAAATTCATTTACTTTATTCCGAATTGCACTTAAATCAAAATTATCTAAAGCAGACACTGTTGGTTGATGAGGTCGTTTTTTCCCAGGAGTGTCCCATTTTCCTTTATTAATTAATGCTTCATTTTTTATCCTTCTTAGTGTCCTTATACTTACATCTATAAAAGATTAAACACTTTGAAACAAAGATATGTTAAATGTATTTAAAAGCAAATAATGATAGACACATACATCAAAATAATTTAAATACCTATTCAACTATGAATGCAATTTATGTTTAATTTAGTTAAGTTTATGTGCATATTTAGCATGTATAACAATTACATGGTTTGATTAGTTTCATGAATTCTGTGAATTTCCTTGTTAAACAAAACATTCTTATGACATCATTGGATGTCAACAATAAAAACCAATACATCATAAAAAACCTATGTAAATATTATAGGAATACTATCAATCTATCTTAAATCAAAACAAGAAAAGAGACCTGTCATTGAAGAAATTTTTTGTAAGTACTGCGTTTCCGAATTCAGCATTTCTTGTTTTTCTAAAGTTTTTATTGCATTTATCTCCTCCATTATTGGTTGAATATCACCATCACAGTTATCTGAAATAGAGCAATATTTTATAAAAAATATCTGTTTAGTTAATTACAGAAAATTAAAACGAAAGTATCAAAATTATAATACAAAACTAACCTAAAAAAGATACAACTTTATCTAATCGTTGTAATTTCTCCATGAAATTTTTATTTAATTCAGTTTTCACTTCAGTAAACTTGTCAATCATGATGGAAAGAAGTTTCCTCGATGAACTTTTTATCGGCTTCGACATAATTTTTAACCAAAAACACAAGTTCAAATTCGCAAAAACAACAAAATTCAATATTCTTGAATTGTCTAACGTAGTGTCAAACTGACAGTTCTATGTTGTTGCCATATGAAAACGGAAAAATAGGTGGTGTCACGTTTCGCTTGCCAAACTCTAACACATGATTTTTTGCTCGTTTTCGGTACGGATACGCTACGCTAGTCAGACTCGCAGTTGGGCGGCTTTTTTATATAAAACAATGCGATCAAAAAGAAAATCAGAACATAATGTTATTTATTGCAATAGTTAAACTTTCACTCTAGTTCCCACACATACGGTAAATTATCATGTGTCACTATTGAATGTAAACCTTATAGAGATCACCCGTGTGCCCGTCTGTCTGTCTGTCACAGCCAATTTACTACGAAATCACTGGACTGTTGAGCTGAAATTTTGTTATCTGTACCAAGTGCGTGTGCAAGTCGGTTACCCAAAGATGAGCTTGCAACTAAAGGTTATCGTAAAAATGTTTTCTTCAGACAAAGTTAGACTATTTTTTGTATATAAGGGGCCCTAGAATCATAATAATGTAAGGATTTATATAAAGGCTACAATTATATAAATAAAATGTATAAAAAGTCACGATTTTTATAAAGGCTATAAAACAATAATATAAATTAAAAAAATAAATTACACACTGTAATAATGTGACATATAATCTAGCCTCACTGAGCATAAAGGAGAGGGTGTTCGGTTAATGACCGAACACTGCATCATATGCATTTTACGTAGTTTAGGTAAATAAGCGCGGCTCGTGGCGAAAAGTAGGTCACCGCCGGCCAGCGTGTAGTAACATATCGACGCTGGAAAGCAAACACGTAGTAACCTGCAAAACCAAATTGTATATTTAGAATAGAATGAAAAATATTTTCTTTCCATATAAATTGACTAAGGAACACCTAATTTGTTACCATGGCCGTTTATAGGAATTATTTATCGAAAATAATTAAAGTATTTCTGCTCTAAAGAACAATTTCGGTTTTGCGGGTTACTACGTGTTTGCTTTCCAGCGTCGATATGTTTTTTCAGCAGAACTTTTCGATTCCCGTTACCGGTTGGATGTTCTCTCTAACAATAATCTCATTTATCATTAACATTAACATTTAATAGACTTAGTAAACAATATAAACCTTTGATAGATACTTAGTAAAGTGACTTGAATACAAACATTATTTTTACTTTATCCTCCCCTACGCTACGCATACTCATCTCCGAACAGAGGGAGTTGGAAGAATACAACCAGTGCAACTTGCAACTAACAACTATTTATATCATTATCATTGCTGCTGTTCCATCTTCATGTCCTTCCTTGATAATAAATAATAAACAAATTCATTTATTTAGCAACTAAGGCTCATTTGTTAGTAGATTACATATTAACTTAAAAACCTATGTTAGACCATGAATAACTCTACCCAATTCCGACCACTGGTAATTACAAATTTAATTTTAAAATATTAAGATGTTATTTCTTTAGCCATTCCTCATTTGGTCTCATAGTCACAAGTAATTAATATATAATGTCTTTGTATGTTGATGTAGTGTACGTAACGTATCGATTTTTAAAATATGTTATTGTAACAATAGAAATGCAGTTTTATTTCATTACGAAAATGTGGTTGTGCTTATGCTCGACCGATATACTGTTATAATAAAATTGTTTGCGTCTTCGTTTGGTTATAAATTGTAAAAAGAAAGAAGGACTTGCCCTCTTACTCTCGAATGCAATCGTGACCGAACGACATCGTAATTGTGCTGATTCACACTTTTCATTTCAGTCATTTCAGTTAGTTGTCATGTTATTTCGTACAAGTAGTAATGGACAAGCAATGTTACATATAAAAATATCAGATAAAAAGTTTTTAGTGTGTCTAAAAAGTAAATACTCACCAAATATAGTAAGTATTCAGTATTTACTAAAAGTCAGTATTTACTGTGATTCAGTATTTACTGCTTTACCTATCTGTAGATGCACCCACACATACGCTATCATACTCTAGGTCCGAGAAAAATCTGCGTTTGGTGTATACAAAGAATTTCTAGAGCTTATAATACTATGCATGCTACCTGATGGAATCCTAAAAACAAGGTCAATACCCAATATGTTTTTAAGAGCTATCTCAGCGTTCTGGTAGGTATTAAAAAAACGCATACACTCATGAAATTTTATTAAAAGGTTCTGTTTGCTGTGGGTCCGCAAATATTAGCTTAATGCGCCACGGGTTGTCGTATCTTGCATAAGTACGCACCTGTGTCCCTTATTGTTTTACACATATGGATCATAATGAAAAATCACTGATTCACTCCAGTAAAAAGGCTTCTTCAGAGTAGGTGGCCACCGATCGATATGTTTCCTGCTTCCTCTCTTATTTGCGATTTTTGCCGTTTCCATATTGACAGCATTTTAGCAGGTATGTTGAAATATATATTGATTGAATTCATTTTACGTTTCAAAATGTAAAAAAATAAGAGTAAACTTTATTCTTCTTCTATTTGAAAAACAAAAGCTTAAAAAAAAATAGAAGGTATGCTCATGGTCATAATGAGAAAAGATCCTATTTGTTACTACAAATAGATTGCGACTGGATATTACTATTAAGGAAAAAAATTAAGGGTTACAAAATAACATCACATATCATCACATGTGAAGATGCTGTTGGATGTTAAAATTTGGTCAACTGAAATACTTTTAGGCTTTCATACGATATAAGGTTATGATATATTGATATTGTGTGAAACCGATATATATTTATAATTATGTCTATTATATATCGATATGTATATCGATTTCCGATATATCATCATGCATCCCTAGTTATGTCAACATCGAAATTGATTGACATTTGTGTTGTTGTTTGCAGGTTTTGCGGCTTTGTTTTCCGTGTATAACGGAACAAGTCCATACTGAAAAAAAAAAAAAAAAAAAAAAAAAAAAATTATTTATTGGAAGTGTAATGTTTGTGTCGTAATATTTAATTAATATCTTGCTATAAGATATAAATGTAATATTTTTAGAAGTAACAGTAAACGTATTGTCTTTATAAAATTCAGTATAAATTGACTTCTCAGAGGTGGCTGAATGCTTCCTAACAAGATATTTTGTTTACTTGTTCATTGCTTTAATAGTTTTTTCAATGGGTTCATATTGTAAGAAATCTTCAGCCGAATGGTTTATCGAGCAGCTGAATGTGGAAAATGCTAAATTGGTGGCTTTTGTTTTGGTGATAGGTTTTATTGGATATCATGGTATCTTACACCTTAGATACGGTAAGCTATGAACCTATGGAAATAAACTTTTATAACATGATTACACATGCTATTTTTCTTAATAGACACTATAATTTAATCAATAAAAAAATATTAAAAGAGCAATAACCTAGTGCGTAATCAGTAATGCAATAAATAACCCAAAAAAAATTTACCTTTACAGGTCCTGATTCATGTACATGGCTGTTGTCATCAGGACGGTATAAAGGCAATCATGAATGGCAGCCTTATGGCTGCATGTTACATAGATATTCTAAAACGTAAGTTTTGCTCATTTATATATTGTTTCATTCCATTTATTGTTTCTTTATCCGTTTTACTGTTTTAATCCAAATAAATTAAAGGAATACATTAAAGGAACAGAGAGAATGTGGAGACTTGATAGAAGTATATAAAATATTGCATGGGCATTACAACATCAAAAATTTCAACAAACAGTTATTTAAATATTTTCATAACACTCACTTGAGAGGACATCATCTAAAGTTGACAAAGAGGGTGTCGTCTATAAATCCACATAAGCACTTTCTTAGTAACAGAGTGGTAGAAGCTTGGAACAGATTACCAACAGATGTAGTTTCAGCACAAAATACAAACCAATTTAAAAATAGACTAGACTAATTCATGAAACAGGAATAATTAAATATCTCGCACAAAAGCTATCGGGATACAGGCCACATCAGTTGTTGCAACTGTCTGACTGTCTTTGATGATAACAATAATAATAAATGTATTTGTATCAGGTTTTGACTGAACTTCAAACTTTCCTCTCATTGAATAATTACAATTATTTAATTTCATATTGCATACAATTGAAATTATACCTATCTATTACATATGCTGGTTTCTTTAATTATTTTTCATATAATCAGCTATCATAAGAACCTCATTATGAAACGTAGCAGCCGCTTTAAGAATTAAATAAGCTAATATTACTTGTCGCAGTTTCCGTGAGCTGTGCTTTTCTATCAGAAAATAAATTTATTATAGGAGATATAACCTTAGCTCCACGGATATGTTTAAATAATATTAAAAGCTAACTTTGGAGACTGCATGTTAGTTATTTTTGTAAGTTCCAACTAATGCTCGGTGCATCTTTATTTGCACAGTGCAGATGTAGTACCATTGACTGATTAAAATATTGAAATTGTAAAGTCGTATTTGTACTTTTGCAGAGATGCAAGAAGGTGTCTACGATACTTAGCTTTTTGGGGCAAATATAACAGCTTTGCATTCATTGGTGATGCTAGACTGGAACAGTTATATGAGTACTTTATAGGTATTTTTTTACTTATATGCTTTTCTTTTTCTTTGAAGTTTTATTAATGATCTAACTCAGAGGTTCCCAAACAATTCTTTCGCATAGACCATTTTAAAAAATGTACTGGTTTCGGTGGACCCCCTGCTGCGACATGTTTACCATATTCTCAAAATTCGTCAAAATGTGAAGATCTAACGATGGAAATTGGCGCCCTATTTTTATTTCACGCCATAGTAGACCCCCGTTGAATCCCTCGTGGACCCCTGGGGGTCCACCTGGCCCACTTAAGGAATCACTGATCTAACCTCACTCTATAGCTTTTAAGTCAGTAATAGGGATGTGACAATATTTTTAATATTATTGTTTTACAGATATATATCTAAAAAATATAAAAAAGTATCACTTATATAATAAGTTACAATCTAAAAATAAATTTCCTAGGAATATGCCAACTTCTGTTATAGCATCCCTAAGACGTCGCTGTATAATTATCTAAGTTGTGATATGAGTAAGAGGAGCATGATGTTATGCGCTGTTTGGGTTTAATGGCAAGAAGTATAAAATATTGGATTTTTCATAATTAATTTAAGCGAAACTATAAATATATTATGCTTAAAAGTGTGATTATCAATAATAGTATATAAAACACCGGAAAAAAAAAGGATATTTATTTTCATTTACCCATATTGTTTATATTTGGAAACTGATTTGATAAATGTTGATCACTTTTATAGGAGTATTAAAAACTCGTCATGATATGGACACATCATACTCAACTGTGGACCATCATATGCCGAACTATACATATGAAGATCACAAGCTGAGGTTATCAGTAACATTCATATGGAGTGATGATGTTTCCAAGACAATGGTTGATCAATTTAGGAGTTGGTAAATGTTTTAGTTATTAATAAATGTGATATTATATTGAAGATAATCAATTGCTTCTACACATTTCAATTTTAGTTGCTGCTATATATCATTTAAATTAACAATATAAGATAACATTTGTCTCTTCCTGGACATGGTAACATATAAATTATTCTACAGGCAACATTCTGATAGACCTCCTTCAGTGATAGTGGCAACAACTGGTCTACAACTACTTAAAACAAGAAATACAACTGACCTCCTAATAGAGGAGTACAAAAGGAATCTCACACACTTGGTGCAAGCTATAGATTCGCTTGCGGCCCGCAACACACAGGTGCTATGGAAACTAATGGAAGCTGTAGATGCGACGAAATTGAAGAATGATGATAAGAGGATCAGTAATGCTGATATTGATTCTTATAATAGAGCTGCCGTTGAGGTAAGTCTTTGTACTAATATTAACATATGTCTTTGTTTTGACTTCATAATGCGTCAGTGTATAACTTTTTAGCAGCATTTCTTAAAGTATGCTCTGCACAGTCCTAGGGCTAAGCAAATATGTTGGGCGTACATAGACAATTAATAATAAAAGTCTATTGTGGCAATAAGTGGCAAAGGTCCTAGGAGGATTATCAATGAATGTATCTATTTCTGTTAAGGAGACCATGATACAAATAGATAAATTCATTGATAAATTAAAATAATGATGTACATAATTAAAATTTGTCATTATAAAAAAAGGATCATTCCAATCCGCAGTTAGCGAGATATCCGTGGACAAACACATCTTTAAAATTTTGAACACATGTTTAGAAGCACATACAGACCAACCAATGAATATTACGCCATTCCAACGAAATTATAATTTTGCTTAAATTAATTATATGTGGACAGTATTGTCGTCTGTCTAACTAACTTGATTTCCTTATTTGTAATCCAGCAGAAACATGATGAAGTTGTCGGTATAGAAACTGTTTGAGTTGGTAATAGAGTATTCTGTGGTCCGCACCAGATACTGAGTCACAGCGCGGCGCGGCTATGGGGATCAGCGCGTCTAGTGTCGCTGGGCGCGGGGGAACTAGACTCGGGTACTGTACTGTCAAGTATGGCGTTACGTCACAGCGCGCAGATCTTGCTCAACATGTTCTGTAACGATCACATGAACTTCAACGATGGCTCCTGCTGCGCCCTGCCCGAGCCCTACACGCCGCTCCAGCTGCTCACCTTCGCGCTCTTTCTGCTCTGGTAACTATCTGTACCCCGACCTAAGATTAGATATCGCCTTCGGGTGTCCCGCGATCCGTTGTATTAATTAATGAATACACTGGATATTTTCTTTTACTGAAAATTCTAAATATGAAAACCTTACTATTTATAATAAAGAACTTACGGAATATTCTTGTCATCATCATCAGCCCTTTTGCGTCGTCACTGCAGGCGCACAGGCCTTCCTTATGGCCCTCTGGCCCAATGTGGATTGGAAAGCATTAGCGATTTCAAATGCAGCCGGGACCAAAGGCTTGACGTGCTTTCTGACTACTCCACCGAGCTACTCATTGTGTTATCATTGTATGTAAACACAACTTACAAACTAAAGTATTAATCATTTAATATTTAAAAGAAAAATATATATATGGGCGTCAATATTCTAGACGTTATAATTTTGTCGAAGATGAATGTTTTTTGTTCATTAAAAAAGAAAAAAGAAACGCAATTTAAGTGATTATGTGGCCAATACATCAAATGGATTAATATAGTAGATAGTCGGTTGTCCTAGTGACTCCTGCAACTTCTACAACTAACCTTTTTAATCTTCTCACGTTTTTCACATTTGTCCTAGTGTTGATTTCTAGCCAGCCCTTTTAGACAATGACATATTTTCGAGACGTTCTCGATTACTGTTATGACGTGAATCATATTGTTGGTCGTAGCGCAGTGGTGAGCATAGTTCGGTTAATATGGCAATGGGCATCGACCTTGGGCCCGCGATCCGGCGGATACACCTCCCTCCACCAGCCCAAGCCGCCACCCTCCCCAGTCGCGGCACTCGCTAGACTCGGCATGATCATGGCCTACTTCTACCTGTGCGATAGAACCAATTTCTTCATGAAAGAGAACAAGTATTACTCAGAGTGGAGTTTCTGGCTTCCCGTCGGATATGTGTTCGCTCTAGGACTTTTCTTCACGGACGACTCCAGGTCCAGCAAGTGAGTAGTTTGTGTATTATTATTACTTAGGTTAGTATTTTAAACTATCTAAATAGCGTATGTGACTTCCGATTGGTGAAAGAATTTTCAGGATCAAATCGCTATTTCCGAAGATTTCCCCCCCACAAACAAATAAAGGGAGAAACTTAACCTCTTCATAACATTAGCAAAGATGATAACTTGGAAAGTCTATAAAAATTATGCATAGCTCGAAAATAATTACCCGTGCACACGCAGCGATAAATCTCGCTCCACCCGCCACATATTACTATACTATACTCAACTTGCACGTGCATTACTTTGCGGGCGGTGCACAAGTACTTGACTGTTTTGGGAAAGTATTTTAATAAGTATTTTAAAACTTTCTTATGATTATATTAAATGCCTATGGAATCAATTAGTCCCACCGCATTTCAATAAACATGAGTACTGGTTGTCATGTCTTATTAATCATATTTATAAATCCTTGCTCCATTTATGATATTAATACAAGCACATATTGGAAATACTTAGAAACTTCTGTTAAACCAAGCATATAAGCAAACAAATATTGAAAATATGATGTCACGCGATGCTCTGTTAAGGGCGCTCGCATTTTGTTTTTTGTAATCATTGTTTACATATCGATGCTGGAAAGCAAACACGTAGTAACCTGCAAAACCAAAATGGATATTTAGAGTGGAAAATCTTTATATTTTTCCAAAACAAATATCTTCTTTTCATATAATTTGACTAAGGAACACCTCATTTGTTACCATGGACGTTTATAGGAATTATTTATCGAAAAAAATAAAAGTTTTTCTGCTCTAAAGAACAATTTTGGTTTTGCGGGTTTTACGTGTTTGCTTTCCACCGCCGATATAAGTTACTATTTCCAACATATTTCATAATTTATTATTATTACTGTCAAATAGCCAATGAGGGCTACTGTTTATTTCGCTCACCAGATAATATAATAGACTAGTTTATAACAAGTAAAATTTCTTTCAGAGTTCTCCATCGGGAGCAAACTGACGAATGGAAGGGCTGGATGCAGCTCGTTATCCTGGTATACCAAGTAACCGGGGCCAGTAAGGTGCTCCCTATATACATGCTAGTGCGAGCACTCGTCTCCGCTTACCTGTTCCTAACTGGCTATGGACATTTCTATTATGTGTGGAAGACGGGTGACACAGGCCTGGTTAGATATTTTAGGGTCATGTTTAGATTGAACTGCCTTACAGTTGTCCTGTGTCTCACTATGAACAGGCCCTATCAATTCTACAGTTTCATACCGCTAGTCTCCTTTTGGTACACTTTGGTAAGTATATATTATTAAAACAAATTTTTTAAAATAGTTTTAAACTAATTCCAACATTATCTCGGTAATTCTTTTTCTTCTTTTTAATTAATGACGTTGCCGTTGTAGATTACGTCAGAGTGCAGTGTCTCGCTCAGTTTACTTAATATTTTATAAAATATTATTATTTGTCCTCCGAGCGGTATATTGGCGCGAATATCATCTTACATCAATGTCAAAGTCACAGTGACAGCTCACTGACAAATAGTGATTCCCGTAATACAATCGATAAATAGTGATTTCTTTGATGGATCTATTGGTTTCGAAGTTGTGTATCAATAATCTTGACCAAGGGTGATAGGTTTTAGTTCATTTGATTTAATATCGAAAAAATACTATTTTCGATATCGACGTATTAGGTTATATTGGATTAAACCAATAGCCTATAGAATTCTTACTTGTTTCCAGATGTTTGTGATATTCGCCCTGCCACCTCACATATCGCCCGCATCCTCTCACACAATGGAATCTAAACCTTATCAGTATCTATACATAGCGTTGAAAGTCATCGGTTTGCTGACCATCGTCACTGTGTTGTACATCAGCGAGGTATTCTTCCAGAAGATATTTGTTACTAGACCATGGAAGGCTTTATTTGTGAACTCTGACGATGATATTCATCAGTGGTGGTTGAGGTGGAAGCAAGACAGGTGAGTCTTATGTTGTTATTGATTGCTCTGTCTCTCTCTCTTTACATCAATTTAATAGTATTTTTGGTTCTAAAAGTAAAGGCTAACTTACAGAGTTCCAATTGCACCAATCCTATGTCTATTTATCTATCTGCTGTCACAGCACGTACCCTTTACGATTATTCTGACTTACTGTATTTAACTTAAAAAAACGCAAACAAAAACGTTGGTTAAGAGACACTACCATTCCTTTGGTAGTATATAATACATACTGTATGTTGTATACAATCCTTATTGTTTAAATGCTGATTTTTTAAAAAGCTAAAACAGACTTCAAAAATCAATAAGAAACTCTTAAAAACTATACAGGTGGATAACTAACTCAAGATATTTCATTTGAAGTCGGAACGTAAAAATAATGGCTAGCAAATCTTTGCCCGAATCTTAAAAACCACCTTTTGTAGTTTAGATAAAATTTTGTTGTGACTTTATCTTCTGGAAAAAAAATCAATTTTGCATTCTTATGATAAATATGTGTTAAAATGGGCAAGGGATTGTCAATTTCAATATAATTTTCAGGTACTCCATGACGTTCGGAATAATATTCGCTATAGCGTATCTACTCGCCCAACGATATAACTTACTGAACGATAACAACCACAGCAACCTGTTTACTCCAGGTATATCTCTGAGTGCCACTTTACTAGCTTTCATAGGCCTAGGCAGTTACGTCACATTTACATTCTTCTGCACTAATACATACGACTGCAACGAAATACACAGCTACGTCGCATTTTTACCCATTATCAGTTACATAATATTGAGAAACGTTTCCGGTGCGTTAAGGATGAGACATTCTAGTATGTTCGCATGGTTCGGCACTATAACCTTAGAGTTATTCGCCAGTCAATCCCATATTTGGTTGGCGGCGGATACACATGGGGTCCTAGTGTTGATCCCTAGCGCACCCATTTTGAATTTGATATTGACCTCTTATATTTTCGTGTGCGCCGCCCACGAGATTCATAAGTTGACTGCGGTAATATTACCGTACGCGGTGCCGGACGATTGGAAGTTGGTTTTGAGGAATTTCGCTATTTTCCTAGCGATTTTGGTACCTATTGGTATACACGATGGTATGTTTTGAAGTGTTATGGACCAGTGTAAAGGTGTGTTTTCACTAGAGCTATGATTTTACAATATATATTTAAAAGTTTAAATATATTACTATCGACTATAGACAATTGTCGACAGCAAGGCAGACAGAAGTTTAAAGTCACCTCGTATAGTTATCTATATAATATAATGTAAATTGGGAATTGTACAAAAGCATGTAATGGCGGAACTTAGTAAGTGCGATGCAGGCATCGCAGTGCCATCTCGTAATAAGTTAACTCGAAGTTTCTGTATTGCCGTCAATTTTTGTGGCGATGTTAGTGTTATGAGATAGATGTCACCATATTTGCGTATATATACCTCATAGCTCATACCTCATGGACGCGGTTTCTTTTGATGACACTAGTGTTTTAATAATATATAAATAAGCATTGTGTATTTATTAATATGCTGCGCTATGATTTTGCTTTATTTCAAAGTTGTTTGCCCACGGCAAGACAATTTTCATTGATAAAACAAATAAATTTGAAATGATTTAGAAAATAGTTTTTATAGTAGTCAGTTTAAGTTTTTTTTTATTTATTCTGACATTGTTGGTCTGTTATTTATTATTTATAGCAATTTTTGTTTAAACGAAAATTGAGGAATCTTTTCGTTAGTCAGATAAGTAGCCGCAGGAAAGTTCTAGTGAAAACATATCATGTATGATGTATGGCGCTAGTCAATTTATTCACATGACTGTAATATTTTATGCTTTAAAGGCCTGTTACAAATGCCTTTTTTGTAAAGCATGTACATAAATAAACATACGTATCATCAAACAACAGCATTTTAAATTACTACAAACTAATAATGGATTTTAAATTCACAAAGCAAATAATTAAAAGTTAAAGTAGGTTAAAGAAAAATAATTTTGTGTGATATGATGTGCTGTTGATTGGAATTTAATTTATAGTTTATAATAAAAAGGCTGTGGAGTTTTGAATTGTATTTTAATGTACGTAAATTAAAATATTTATATGATGCAATCTTTTTACCCGAAGTAAGTAGTTTCGAATTGCTTGCAGTATTTATTTTCTCATAATAAGCACTGACTTATAAATTCATCATGATTCGTAGACGCTACTATATTCGACTGAGTTTTACTATGAGTTGATAATTTGTTTTGATAGGGTTGTTAAATATTATTTATCATTAAATTATATTTATTATAATTTAGAAAAACGTTGCAGAAATGACGTGATAGACTTTAAGTGTGACATCAATTCTAGTATTAAATTACGATGGGTCCTGCAAATAAGGGCTAAAATGCAAAATCATAACACTTGGAGACACTTTAAAGTTTAAAGCTAAAGCCCGTCCGAACAGAGAGATTTCGGTGGTATATACAATGTTTTACAATGTATATGTCGCAGGCATTTTGTACGAAACCGCCGTTTACATACGGCGTCGTCAATTTAGAAACGCTTGCTATTATGTAATATGCCGAAGGAAAAATGTATATTGCCGATTCATTATATATTATGCCTAAACATTAGATTGATAATTCAAACGCCATCTACATAATACCGCGGCAATATAAATAATTAATTTTGTTTCTACCACTCCCGTTGTTGTTGATTATAACAAACAAAATGGCATCAATCAGTGGTTTTGAGACACAAAAAGATATTGAAAATAGTGCAAATAATGCGTGTTCGGGAGGCTTTTTTGCAAAATATTTGTGATTTAAAGACATTTACTTAAGTGAATAAAAAAAATATAACGATATTCAAGCGGGATCTATAAAAAGCCGTGGACAAATGAAAAGATTTTTGATGTAATCCGGCACCTCAAAAATGCTAAGGTGTCCATAGAATCTGGCTCTCGGAGGATACCTGCCCAATATTATTGATGATAAAAATTATTGTTAGAAAAGCGATAGACTTATTCGTCTCATTTTGTCCTATCTGTCCAACATAAAACATACCAAAGAAAGGCATCGTAGTTAAATCAATTATATCTAGAGATTTTAAAGACGGAACTAGTTGTGCCCATAAATGTTGTTTTTGTCTTAAACCAGTTTACACTATTTGCAGGGAAACAATTGGTAAAAAAGGTTATATCTCAAATGTTTTGTGTTTGATGTGTAAATTTTGCTGCATCAAGGCAGCTGTAGATATTGGAGATATAGTTTTTTTAACTTCGCAAATATTGATAGAAAGTCCGATGCTAAAAATATATCTGGAAAAGTATTGGATATGAGACACGGCGTTTACCAATTTAGAATAAGTAATGGGATTATCAAAAACTGGTTTAAGTTTAGTGTAAGAAATTCTTCAAATATTCTTTTCAAAAAATATTAAAAGATAATTCCTTAATAGAATCTGTTTCTAAAGAATCTTTATATGGTCGGCTAAAAGGCAGTGTTAAAATAACGGATGTGCATGTTTTAAAAAGAATATTCTTTGTGGGTCCAAACGACACTCAAGTTTGACACGCGCAAAAAATAATTCTTGATTTAATTATTAAAACCCGCCTATTTATATTCGTAATTTTCTTTTTACAAAATTTTATTATTTTTCTTTGAATATGTTTGTATTGAATTATGTAGGGGTATTGGGAAATATTAAGTGATTTCGTTGAAATACCGATTTTACATTGATATTAAACTAACCAGAACAATTAAAGTTATAACGAGGAAAATTTAAAATTAATATATTTTTTAAATAGTATCATTTGGTATCTTTGAAATATCATATAAGTTAGATGAATAAGTCAAGACTTCAAAAAATTATTGATATTATCTTAAAAAGTTCAAACTGTGTTTTCTTCATGGTTACCCTAAAACTACAATCAACATTAAAATTATAACAATTGAACGAGTTGTCATTTTGCCTTCGGCAAATTACTTAACAGCGAGCGTTTCTAAACTGACGACGCCATATGTAAACGGCGGATTCACACAAAATGCCTGCGACATATATACCACCAAAAGTCAAAGTGACCGAAATGCTACGTTGGTCCTTATACGTAGGTCTCACTGAAGTATTAAATAATCCAATAATTACTCGTGGGTTGTATTAAAAGAACATTTAACTAGGCTTAAATATAAAGCACCATAAATATTAAATGAGCACCTATAATAAATTTCAATGCATTTAATAATTGTAAGTACACATTTGCTGTATTTTGGATTACGAAATATTATTTTCCATTATTTGTTATTTAAAAGTACAAGGCATTTCCTTAACAATAACCGCTACTCCAATTTGACACTAAATATAATATAACCATTGTATACCGTCTATAGGGTTGCCACATTTCCGGATATTAACTTATTCAGGTAAAAAGTGATTAACATGAAATATTAAACCTATTTTGTGTGTCTCTGTAACAACTTAATTTAATAAGTAAAGTATTATAAAGTTATAAAAGAAAATTAACGGTTCCTTCTATTTAAATATTATGTATCTACATATTGGTAACAATCCATATAAACAAGGCTAAATTAAGTTTAGTTCTGCCAAACTGCATTTTCAACTGTGTAAACAAAGAATCTATTGTGTATCTAATTAAACTTATTATATTATAGTATACAGGAGTAAAATCATATTTCTTTGATTATTATGTGATTAACGTTAAATCAAACTCAAACTAAATTTTTTGACTGTTTTACTTTAGAGAGAGGTATACCAGAAGAATGTGCACCATTATATGCCTAATATTAATTTTCTTTGTTTCGGTATTATTATGCCACATGATCTATCAGAAACATATGTTGCTATAGGTAACATATGATATTGATAGATCAAATATTTTGCTATAGGTAACTGATATACATGTTACATTTATTAAATTATTCTTCTTAATATAACCATCACTTTTTACTTGTTTTGGTTTATATTATCTTCATAAGTCTGATACTAGTAAGGGAAAAAAGTTATTTTGTGAATTACAAACGGCTCAATGAAGTATAGTTGGCAACCCTGAGCGTTAATTCTATTTCAGTGAGGTTAAAGCAACCAACATAAACTGTACAAAGCTCAAATTGTGTTATAACCTCTATAATTATACGGTTTGTATTACGTAATCACCTAGCAATATATTTTATTAGTCCTGTGTTTACCAATATGTTTGGGTGTTATTCCGTTTTGGTTAAGTTAACCGGTATATTTATTGCTCTAAGGAATCAGTTATTAATCAAAATGGAATGCTATTTATTGTAAAAAATAAAGTTTTTTGAAAGTATTAGTTTTATTATTTATGAATTATATCCTAATTTAAAAAGTAGGGTCGTTGCTATGAAAGAAACTACTTTATAACAAGCAAATTTTTTTATTTTTGTTCTTTACATTGTTTTTGTGAATAAGATGCTTAGTAATAGTAATGAATATACATCTTATTAATATGCAAATCTTAAAAATGTAAAATATACTTACTATATAAAACGGAACGTCTATAAAAACAGATTAACAAGGTCTGAGAGAAAAAATAGAATACATGAGTTTAGTTATTTAACCTACGAATAAAAAAATAAAAAGCTTTTCAATATTTGATATTATTGGTTAAAATAAATACACAAAAAATAAGTCATATTGTATATTATCCCTCTCTTTTTTTTAATTTTTAGAAAGCCACGTTACGGTTAAATAATAATTAAATAATAGCTCGTCTCATCAATAATATATTTTCTTAGTAGTCTCATTTAGAAATACGTTATATAAATTAAAGTATAGCGCAGTGCAACAAACTAGGTTACTTGAACATTTGTGCATAAGTAATTTTAATAGGTACGATATGTACAAAACATTTGATCGAAACGCGAGTATGAAGGTACTATTCGTACGGATTAACATGACACCTGATGGCCTATTCTATTAGTCCGAAATCGAAATTTCATTAATTTTCGATATTATATAATGGAACGGAGGTAGGACCTGACCTTGCCTCTGATGCACAGACAATCTTCACGGTTAAGGTTTTAACAAAATTATAAGAACGATTGAAATTGTTCAAATTTTCGTTCGAAGCTAAATAGAATAGGGCCTCAGCTGTCATGTTAATTCGTAGGAGTTAAACAGTTTTTTATATAAGTGAAAGTCTAATATGTGGGTATTCTAAATTTTCAAAGTTTTTTACGAGAGTTAATATTGAATGGCATACACCTCAAATACCT